GCGAGGGCGCTAGTGAAGGGGCGCGCGAGGGCGCTGACGTGAGTGCGCGCGAGGGCGCTAACGAGGGTGCGCGCGAGGGCGCTAACGAGGGCGCACGAGGGCGCTACGAGGCTAGGGAACGGGGTAGCGTGGTAACCGCATGCGAGCGGTGGTGGGCCCTAAAAAAAACGATCGGTAGGTCCTAGGGACCTCCTGCTCTGAATACCATGTCAGAAGAACTAGGCAAGAATGATGAACTAGCAGAAGTTTTGGGTACAAATATGAAACCCTAGTTGGGGTTGTACCCCATATTGGCTACCCCACTACAGCCTACAAGCATACTACAGTTTAACAGCTATACCACGGGAGAGGAGGTCTTTACATCGGGAAGGCAGTCCTGAAGAACAACGTCTTCGTTCTTGACTTCGTTCCTGATCTTGGCACCGCTGACAGCGACGCCATCGTTAACTTCACCAACTGGACACACCCTCCGGATCTTGATCCAGACTTCAGTCCGGGCGGCTTCTGGTATTCACACACCATTCCTGAAACAGAAAGAACAAGAGCGTTAGCGACGATTCAACACTCGGCAGCAGCATAGACAATATCGGCAGCAGCAGAGACAACACCGGCAGCAGCAGAGACAACATCGGCAGCAGCAGAGACAACATCGGCAACAGGAACGACAACACCAGTTGCTGGTCCTTCAACGGCACCACCGTTCGTTGACGATACACCACCAACACCCGCACAGCAACTCAAACCGGTGCCATGAGAAGTTCATCGAAGCGCCAACTTCACCGCCAGCTTCTACTCCAACTCCGACATGTACCGACGCTCACCCGGACATCGCGCCACTGAAGGTACCTGGCACGCAAGAATGGGACACCCAAGCAACACAGTGTTAAACAACACGATAAGAGCAGGAGTGCTTGACAAAGACTCACTTCTACTGACCGACGGCAGAGAACTTCAGCGAGCTCGAGGAACATGCTTCACCTGCCCCGAAGCTGACTTACCGCATCAACCGTTCGTATCTCACCACAATCCAAGCGCACCTGCATACGCACCACTCGAGAAGGTGTACAGCGACATCCTGTACAACCGCGAGCCCGGACAAAACGCCTACAACTACACGATCACCTTCATCGACGCCGCAACACGATACGTCTGGCACCTCAACCTTCCAAGCCGCGACATGGCCTTCGAAGCCTTCGTCGCCTGGCTTCCTGTAGCAGAACGAGAATCGGGAGTTAAGCTGAAAAGCTTTCAATCGGACGGGGGAGGAGAATACACCTCACAGAGGTTCAAGGACTACTTGGCAGAAAGGGGAATCAAGCGACTCATCTCCCTTCCCTACGCTCACCAACAGCAAGGTGTAGCAGAAAGGATGAACAGGACTCTCCAGAACACCATGCGCAAACTGCTACGTGGCATGCACCTGCCCAACCACCAATGGCCGGAAGCAATGGACCACGCCGTGATGCTGCACAACCTGCTTTCTTCGTCGCCACTCCCAAACAATGCATCACCGCATCTGCTGTGGACAGGAAAATTGGGCAGCACAAAAATGTTAAGAGTTTTCGGCTGCATGGTACAGTACCGACCTCCATCTGCACGAGCCAGAAGATTCTCCCAACGGGCACAGTGGGGACTACACCTGGGCATCGAAAAGCATTACAACGCATGGAAAATTTTCGACGTCGAGACAAAAGAAACAGTGGCAGCACGTGACGTGATTTTCTACGAAAACCTCACCCTCCGATACTACCTCGCCAATTTGCAAGAAGGCAACCCCGACCGCAGCGATGGCTTTCGTGGAGATCGAGCCTTCGCTTCAGCAGCCGACGAAGCTGACTGGGACGAGCAGAACGTGGACGGAGCCTCGGAAGAAGCCGGACCTCTTCCCTACTGCTCAGTCGACGTTCCGATGGACGAAGAAAATCCTCGCGAAAGTGTCAACGCCGAAGCTTATTACCACTTCGTCGACAACGGTTATGTTACACCAGCTGAAGTCAACACCAATGAAGCAGAACGCGTAGGACCAAATTTCGCACCTGATCCAGAAGCGGGCGACGAAGCAGTTTATCAAGAGGACACCACACTCCCCCGCTACACACAGAGTGGACTGCAAATCCTCGGCCTTATCACCGCAGTCCACGGAGCAACGCTTCCTAAGGAGCCTGCGACGGTTCAGCAGGCTCTGGGGGGGGAGCATAAGGAAAAATGGCGCGAAGCCATGGACAGGGAGCTGAAAGCATTAGAAGAGCGCAACACGTGGAAAGTCGTTCCCATCGGCGTAGCACGGAACAAGACCATCCTCACCGGGAAATGGGTCTTCCGCGTGAAGACGAAAGCTGACGGCACCATCGAAAAGTTCAAGGCACGATGGGTCGTACGCAGTTTCGACCAAGAACACGGACGCGACTTCACCGAAACCTTCGCACCTGTGAGCCGACACACTTCGCTCCGAATTCTGCTCGCAATCGCCGCCATGAAGAAGAAGAAGCTGCGGCAAATCGACGTCGCAAATGCATTCCTCTACGCACCTGTCGACGCAGAGATTTTCGTGGAGCTACCACACGGCTCCAACACAGACTCCACACACGTCTGCCAGCTGCTCAAGTCGCTCTACGGCATCAAGCAAGCTCCGCGGCTATGGCAGCAGTACCTGCACGCTCGCCTCATTCGCATCGGCTTCAAGCAGCTACCGCACGATCAGGGCATGTACCGACTCACGAAGAACACTGACTACATCCTACTAATCGTCTACGTGGACGATCTCCTCTACATCGGCTCTACCGACGGCATCACCACCTGGTTCGAAGGGGAGCTGCAGAAGGATCTCACCCTCACTGTTTCATCTACCGTCACACAGTACCTCGGCCTCAACATTCGAGAAGAAGAAGACGCGATCTACCTCAGCGCCGCAAAATACGCCGACACCATCGCCAAGCGCTTCAATCTCACACCGACCACCATCACCACACCGTACCTCTACACGACATGAAGTAACAAGGAAGGATCCGCTCTACTCAAGACCGGCGGCATACGCGACTATCAGAGGAAGCTAGGATGCCTCCTCTTCGCAGCTGTCACCTGCCGTCCCGACCTCTCATACTCCGCAAGCCAGCTCGCCACCTACCTCAAGAAGTTCGAAGCAGAACACCTGGCGGAGCTCGACCGCGCTCTTCACTACTTCGTCAGCACCTCAACGATCGGCCTAACTTATCACAAGAACGCAGCTACACCGACTAAACTAATCGGTTACGTCGACGCCGATCACGCCGGCGACTCCGATAACAGGCGCTCACGCACCGGCTACATCTACCGCCTCGAACCCATCGGTCCTATCTCCTGGCAGTCGAGCAAGCAGGAGTTAATCGCACTATCATCAGCTGAAGCAGAATATATTGCACTCTGCTCAGCCACCAAGGAAGGCCTTTACCTTCGCGAGCTGCCAACAGGAAGAAGCGAAGTTAGCCGAGTTACCCAACTTCACCCTGTTCTGCGACAACCAGTCGGCAATTCGCATCGCCAACAAAAACGGCTTCGCGAACAGGACGAAACACATCGCCCTGCGCTACTTCTTCGTGAAGGACGAGATCGAGAAGGGGAGACTCGAACTGTCATACTGCCCCACATCCGAGATGGCAGCTGACTATTTGACCAAGAAGCTCGGAAAGCAGAAATTCGAGTACTGCATGCTGCTGACTGGACAGAGCCACGTCATCAGCAGCGACACTCCAGAAGCGAAGGGGAGTGTTGGAAACAGTGAATCTTAAGCGCCTCTGTCGTGTCGAAACACCACACCAGAAACGAGGCGAACCATATCGAAGCACCCGCGAGTCAACCCTCGGAGGTTGAGAGGTTGCTGGAGGTTACGCGAAAGTCAAAGGTCAGCGACCTTTGACCTGACAAGTACAGCGCGACAGTTAAGGACACACAACTGACTCGTTACAGAGCAGTTGCCCGAGTCGTACTGTATCGAACCGCAACAGCAACAGTAAATTAGTTACAACCGTATCGTTTCGTATTCCCTGTTATATATTCTTGCATCTCTTTGCTATAATCAATCTACTTTGCCCTCACATACCAGCGCAAGGTGGTTCACAATCCTTCATTAAGCTTCCGCTGTTACAACATTATCCTACCCAGAGTTCTCCCTTGAAAAGATCCTAAGGGCTTTTCTCAGCCCAACAGCGCTGACCCAGGACCTACCAAATTTGCCTCTGCAGGTGTTCTCCATGACGTGGCGTCCCGGGCAGTGGTTGCCGAAGTGGCACCTTCGCAACATCCACACTCATTATGAGGAACTCTTTTTCAAGAAGTACGGAAAATATTTCTAAGTAGTTTAAAAAGTTTCCATTTATAAGACTTATAAGACACCCTAAACCATCCCGTTTACAAGATAACTCAAGCATTTTTGCCCGTGTACGAGATAAGACATATATGTCTTATATCCGGGCGATGACGGTATACCCCCCCCAGCCTTTTTAGGGGTGATTATCATAAGACCCTAGGGTCTTATATATGTATATTTTTAAAAGCTGTAACACTTTTTAAAATCATGTATTTTGAAAGCGAAGCTGCCTGTAATGTAGGATTTGGCAGCGTCGAGCCGCGCTAAACGCCCGTTTTGGAGTACAAAACGTGGGCTGGAGGTCATTTCCCTCCACCCACGGTTTAGCTGATTTTCCCACCCACCCCCCCTCGAAAGCAGGATAGCGTTGATAACGTAGAGGCATATTATTATAATGTCACTGCTTAGATTTCAATTGTACTAAACCCATTTGAAATGAGACGATGCCAATTGCTACATGCAAGAAAGCAAGCTTTCTAAATACGGGGGATTACGGTATTTAGGGTACATTCCTGAAGCGCGTCACAAAAGCATCGTGTCTCAAACGAAGAGATACAGTGCGGTGCAAATGTTTGTCTCTTAGGTTTAATGCGGTGCAGAACGATACATAGGTTTTGTGACGGGATTGAGACATTTGTGTCCACACAGGAATGTACCCTTATGCACTCTTTAACCGACATGTCTTCCGCCAAGGATCGTTGTGTAGTTTGTAATAGAGAATCTGTGAGAGGGAAACGGAGCGGAGAGGCCAAGAGAAAGCCGAACGAGAAGTTGAATGGACAGTCAGGGTGCATGAACGGGAGGAGGGAAGAGCAGTTCCAGGCAGGATACTTAGCAGGAATAGAGACTTGGGGGTTGAGTGCCCAACCCACGATAGCGGCAACAACCCATGGACCAGCCTCGGATTTTGCATGAGTACGTTTCAAAGTGACGCCCGAAAAGATACCCAAAGTGACTGCAAGCGATACTGCAAGCGATACTGCAAGCGATCTTGCAAGCGATACTGCAAGCGATATTGCACGCGATATTGCTAACGATACTGCAAGCAATGTTGCAAGCGATACTGCACGCAATATTGCGAGCGATATTGCACGAGACTGACAACCCAGAGCAATACTTCCGGATGATCCTCGTGACTCTCAGATAGGTTTTGCTGATAACTACAGAAATTATAGTGATAATGCACGAGATTGTCAGCCCAAACTGATACCTCCAGATGCGGCTTATCATGACTTGCAGATTGATATTGTTTCTGGTGCCCAGTAACTTACAAGGACACTCCGGCAACCATAACCACACAGTCTCAGCTCTGCGTACAGTAACAAATCTGGACACTTGCTGCTTACAGTCACACACCTGCATACACTCACACAAACACATACAGTCACACACATGCGTGCAGTCACACACATGCATACAGTCACACACCTGCGTACAGTCACGCACCTGCATTAGTGTATCAAAGGCATCATCTGATCTTCTCCTCTTCCTCTTCCTCCCGCCCGCCTCACCCCGTGTTCCCACACCATCCGCCCCAGCTTCCATCCCCAGCCCTCTCCCCTCCTGCACACCCACCACACTGTCACCCCCGCCACGCCTCCACCCTTCTTCTCCTCCTCCCCCTCCCCCTCCCCCTCCCCCTCCTCCCACACCCTCTCTTCCCTCCCCACCCCCACCCCTCCCCTCCTCCTCTCTGCCTCTATCCTCCTCTATCCATTCCTCTAGTGCTACAGCCCAGGCCATGCGATGCCCGTGCTGCTCCCTCTGCCGCTTTGCCTCGAGCCTCATCACCCCGTGATACACCCACCGCTGCCACATGCGCTGAACCCCCTCCCATAGGTGCTGCACACGGGCAGAGGGGAGCGACTGGGGTGAAGGGAGGAGGGGAGAGGAAGGAGGGAGGGGAGATTGATAATCCACAAGAACAACGATTAGCATACAAGTGGAGTCCTGTCTCGTTTGCTAGTGGTTTTAATCGAAGAGTGAAAAGTAATGACGCCTGCCGCTTTGCCTCGAGCCTCACCACCCCGTGATACACCCACCGCTGCCACATGCGCTGCACCCCCTCCCATAGATGCTGCACACGGGCAGAGGGGAGCGACTGCGGTGGAAGGAGGAGTGGGAAAGGAAGGAGGGAGGGGAGATTGACTATCTATGGGAGAAACTCTTTGCAATCAAGAGGAGCCCAGTCTCGTTTGCTAGTAGTGGTTCTTGTCAAGTAGCGAGCAGATTGCTAATTATGATGTCTGCCGCTTTGCCTCGAGCCTCATCACCCCGTGATACACCCACCGCTGCCACATGCGCTGCACCCCCTCCCATGATGCTGCACACGGGCAGAGGGGAGCTACTGGGTGGCAGAAGGGATGAGGGAGGGGAGAGGAGAGCGTGGAGAGGGCAAGGAAGGAGGTGGAGTGGGGATGAGAGGAGGAGGAGCAAAAGGGGAGAGAAAGTATGGGACAAACGATTAGCAAACAAGTCCATCGAGTTGTAATGTAACCTGATTGCTGGTCGCTTGTGTCGCTTGAGTCGAATACCGAGAATATATTGCAAATCATGACTTCACTGAGCTTGTATTGATTGACTCGTGCTCATGTTTAATCGCAATATGGTGTGGTGTGCGATACTGATCCATTATAAGCGGGAACTTGAGTAGTGTATTCCACACTATCCTAGCTTACCCTCAGGATTCTGATCATGTTGGGAATATCCTCTTCTGCTATCCGCACAGTGAAATCCTCATAAGAAAGGAAGTTTTCAAACGGTAAATGAATCCCATCCTAGCGGAATGGGAATAGAGGGGGGGAAGAGGAGGAAAAACGGTTTCGGGAAGGGATAAATCAGTTGCTTGAGCATGCAAGGAGGGAAGGGATTTGAAAAGGGAGCTAGAAAGGGACGACACGACAGGAGTAGGAACAGCTTGGGAAACATCTCCCTTCCCTTCTACGTCCCCACAGGAAGAGAGACAGATGGGAATTCACAGATTTGATGTTAACCATGCTGTGGCCATGCTGTGGCCATGCTGTGGCCATGCTGTGGCGTACATGCCATACATGCCATACATGCCATACATGCCCTTCATGCATCCACGACACGAATGCATCACAAGCATGTGCGGACTGCATAGTGCATCACGGCATGGGCCATAACTCGGAGCAGCAAGGTAACCACGTGTGACTGATTTTTGATTCGACTAAAAAATCGACTTCATGCATCCACATCACAAGCATGTGCGGCGGACTGCATAGTGCAGCATGGCATGGCCCATAAAACTTGGAGCGGCAAGGTAACCGCATCCATGCACTGCTGAGGACGTATGGTGCTATGCACACACTCAACCATGCATGCCATCACACATGCCAGCACACACACGCACGCCAGCACACACACGCCAGCACACACACGCCAGCACACACACGCCAGCACACACACGCCGTAACACACACGCCGTAACACACACGCCGTAACACACACGCCGTAACACACATGCCGTAACACACATGCCGTAACACCTGCACGATGACGGGAATGCACCCATGCATTATTGCATCCTCCATGCGTTGGATTGGAACAAATAAGAAAAGGACATTCAGACATGTAGGCCAAACACACACAAACGACAGCACACACACACGTGCTGTAACACCTGCACGATGACGGGGATGCACCCGTGCAACATTGCGTCCTCCATGGGTTTGAACGGACATTTATACACATATGCACACACACACACGCCCTTACACACATGGCAGAACACAAAATCCAAACATACCTGCACGACGACAGGGATGCACACAACATTGCATCCTCCATTCGAGCACTGAAACCGTCCCCTGGAGTTTACAGTAGTTTCGTGCATGCATACAAGCGCGCGCGCACACAGGCACGCACGCACGCACGCACGCACGCACACACGCACGCACGCACGCACGCACGCACACACACACACATGCCATCATACCTGCACGATGACAGGGATGCACCCATGCAGCATTGCATCCTCCATGCGCGCACTGAAGCCGTCCCCATTGAACACGCCACAGCCACCCACACCTCCCATTCCGCCGATGCCTACACACATGCCGTCATACCTGCACACATGGCGTCACACCTGCACACATGGCGTCACACCTGCACACATGGCGTCACACCTGCACACATGGCGTCACACCTGCACACATGGCGTCACACCTGCACACATGGCGTCACACCTGCACACATGGCGTCACACCTGCACACATGGCGTCACACCTGCACACATGGCGTCACACCTGCACACATGGCGTCACACACACCTGCACACATGGCGTCATACCTGCACACATGGCGTCACACCTGCACACATGGCGTCACATCTGCACACATGGCGTCACACCTGCACACATGGCGTCATACCTGCACGATGACGGGGATGCACCCATGCAGCATTGCATCCTCCATGCGCGCACTGAAGCCATCCCCGGGGAACACGCCACAGAAACGCGATGAGGAAAGCTGCAGAAGCACGCACAATGGGAGGGACCGTGAGGAGATTAGGCGGGAGGGTAGAGAGGGGAACTGCGTGCTGTCCTCCATGCAAGCACCGTGCTATGCTCAGCTCACAGCAAGGAGGAGCTCACTCACATTGAAACAGAGACGAAGAGGAGAAATAGAGATTGAGATGCTCACGTCCTCCACGGCTGTAGCCCACAGCACCGTGTGAGGTGCTCACTTCGATATGGTGAAAGCAGGGGGAAATAGAGATTGAGGCCCTCACACTGAAGGAATAGTCGTCGCTGCACTTGCTCGTGACAAACAACCACGTCTGGAGCCCACAGCACCGTCAGGCGTTCAAAATGCAACAAGAAAAAGGAGAGAGACGCTCACATTGAAGAAGTAATCCTCGCTGCGCTTGCTCGTGACCACCACGTCTGGAGCCCACATCACCGTCAGGCGTTCAGTCTTCAAGAGAAGAGCAGAGATTGCAACGCTCACATTGAATGAGTAGTCGTTGCTGCGCTTGCTCGTGACCACCACGTCCGGAGCCCACATCTGGCCCTTGCTGCCGTTCACGTTCTCTATGGACGCAAACAGGTGCGCCACCCGCTGCCGAATGCCCATGCTGTAACTGCGAGGGTGGGAGGGGAAGGGGAGGGCGGGTGGATGGAGGGTTGGGGAGGAGAGCAAGCGAGTGGGAAGGCGGGGAGGTCGCGGGGCAATGGGCGCATCTGGCGTGTGTAGTTGGTATTTGATTGCACTGAGTATTGACATGGGGGTGTAGCTCACATGGTAGAGCGATCGCTTTGCATGCGATAGGTACGGGGATCGATACCCCGCGTCTCCAAATTTCTTACACTTTTGCCCATGTACATCAGCCAGAGCCCTACGGTTTCGCTAGAGACCAGAAATCAACTCCTCCCTGCCCCATCCCTCCGTCCCTCCCTGCCCCCTCCCTCCTCACATCCGCTTTCCCCTCTCCCGGCCGCCCTCCCTCCTCACCTCCGCTTTCCCCCTTCCCTCCCTCCTCACCTCCGCTCCGCCTTCCCCCCTCCCTCCCTCCTCACATTCAACTCTTCTCCCCACCCCACTCACTCTTTCTCTGGGCGACCATCAAAGGCCGTCTTCTTTCCTCATTCCATCCCTCCATTGCTCCCTCCCAAACTCCCACGCCCCACCTCCTCTCCCCACTCACTCTTTCTCTGGGCGACCACTAAAGGCCGTCCCAAGCTGACCGTTGAAATAGAAGAGCAGGGGGCGGTCAGAGACAGGCCTGGGAGGGGGATTCACAGAGAGAATAGGGGGCGGAAGAAGCAGGCGGAAGAGGTTGAGAGGGCAGACACACTAACACTAGTGGGGGGTGAGAGGAATCAGTAGAGAGTGGAAGCAGTAGAAAGTGGACTTTTTCAACGGTCTTGAAAGGGGAGAAAGGCAGATTCAAGCTGACTGTTGAAGTAAAAGAGTAGAGGACGGTCAGAGAGAGACTAGGGGTGAGAGGGAGAGAAGGGAAAAGGGAGGGGCGGAGAAGTAGATTGACAGAGGAACAACAAGAATTAAGCAGCACACTACACCACACCACACCACACCACACCATACCACACCACACCACACCACACCACACCACACCTCACCTCACCTCACCACACCACAGCACACCACTCACCACCTCTTACACAGTTGGTGGCGGTACGAGTCCACATGGGAGCCCTTAAAGGCCGGCAGCACGACCACGCCCTTGTGCCGGACGTAGCAGGGTTGGATGCCCATTCCTCAGCCCCTCAATTCCTCAGCCCCTCAATTCCTCAGCCCCTCAATTCCTCAGCCCCTCAATTACTCAGCCCCTCAATTCCTCAGCCCCTCAATCCCTCAGGCAACACCCCCTCCACCCCACATACAACCCAACGAACCTTTTCCACAGCTGGCAGCGGTACAAGTCCGCACGGGTCCTTTGAAGGCCGGCATGACCACATCTTTTTGCGGGTCGTAGCAGGGGTGGACGCCCCTCAGCGCCTCAGGTACCATACCACACCCCTCCACTGCACATACAACTCTGCCAGCCCACCTTTTCCACAGGCGGCGGCTGTAGAAGTCCGCGCGGGGCCCTTTAAATGCCGGCATGACCACATCCTTGTGCGGGTCGTAGCAGGGGTGGGTGCCCCTGAGCGCGGGGGGCAGGAAGGCCCAGGAGTCCCCCGGGTATGTGGTGGTGGAGTGCGCGTGGGAGAGCATGGAGTTGCCCCAGTGGGAGAGCAGGATGGACGGCCAGAGGGGTTGGGGGGCTGTGCACGCGCCCTCGTCCCATGCAAAGGGCTGCGGGGGAGGGGAGGGGGGGCGATGGAAGGGAAGGATAAAGGAGAAAGGGGCGTGGAGTGGTGGAGAGCGGTTGAGGAAGCATTGAGTTGCCCCAGTGGGAGAGCAGGATGGACAGCCAGATGGCCTGCGGGGCCGTGCAGGCGCCCTCGTCCCATGCAAAGGGCTGCGGGGGAAGGGAACAGGGAAAGGGGAGGGGAGGCGGGGGAGGGGAGATGGGGCAGGGGAGAGTGGGGAGGGGAGACAGGGATAGGGAGGGGGGATGGGGAAGGGAGACGGGGGAAAGGAGACAAAAGAAGGGGAACAGGGGAGGGACGAGAAGAATAACGAGGAATGGGATGGGAGAGAGGTGGAGTGCGCGTGGGGTCGCATGGAGTTGCCCCAGTGGGAGTGCAGCATGGGCCGCCAGATGGCCTGCGGGGCCGTGCACGCGCCCTCGTCCCATGCAAAGGGCTGCGGGGGAGGGGAGGGGAGACGGGGAGGGAGATGAGGGGGATGGAGATGAGGGGGATATGGAAGTGGAGAGGAAGGCCCATGCTCCCATCCTCCCATGCTCCCATGCTCCCATGCTCCCATGCTCCCATGCTCCCATGCTCCCATGCTCCCATGCTCCCATGCTCCCATGCTCCCATGCACCCGTACTCCCATGCCCCATGCTCTCATGCTCCTATGCATACACCCCCTCTCCCTCCAGGCCCCCCCACACCACCCACCACCCACCCAGATGTGGTCGCGCCCGCCTGTGCGGTTCCAGAAGGGGTAGTGCGCGCGGATGTGATGGTATGCACTCATTGACCCATTTACCCATGTACAGACGCATGCACCTATGCATACATCCCCCCCACACCACACAGCACCCACCCAGATGTGGTCGCGCCCGCCTGTGCGGTTCCAGAAGGGGTAGTGCTCGCGGATATGATGGTATGCGCGCATGTAAAAGTCTGCCACTAGGTTGGTGCGGCGGACGAGGTACTTGCCCTGGGGGGGGAGAAGAAGAGGAGCGGGAGAGGGGAGAAGGGAGAAAGGAGCAAGTGGGCTTGATTCAGATGTGATGGTATGCTTGCACAAAGATACATGCCTGCCAGCATGGAGTAGGCACGGGGAGTCATCAGCACGGGCAGCACGGACAAGCGCCACTTGCACTTGTCACTCTTTCTCACCTTCTCCCACTTTTTCCCAATCCCCAATCCCTCATCCCCCATCCCTCATCCCCCTTCCCCACCCCCCCTCCCCTTACCAGCATGGAGTACGCAGGAGAGTCATCGGCGCGGGCAGTCATGCAAGCCCCAGGCAGCGGCACATAGAAGTAGTCTGCCTGCCAGGGGTCGTTGGTCCGATGCACACTGGCTAGCAACCGTTCCCTCCCCCATCCCCCGTCCCCCGTCCACCGTCCCCCCTCCCCCGTCCCCCATACCCGCACACCACCCTACCAGCATGGAGTAGGCAGGGGAGTCATCGGCGCGTGCAGTCAGGCAAGCAGCACTTGCACTTGTCACTCTTTCCCCTTCCCCTCCCCCCTCCTCCCTTCCCTTACCAGCATGGAGTAGGCGGGGGAGTCATCAGCGCGGGCAGTCATGCAGGCCCCGGGCAGCGGCACATAGAAGTAATCTGCCTGCCAGGGGTCGTTGGTCCGATGCACACTGGCCAACAACCCTTCGAACAGCACCCCCTGGAGCAGGGGGGGGAGGGGGGGGGGAGAAGCACAGAGCAGTGTGGCTTAGGCAGAGAGGAAATATGCTGGGAGGTTGCTTGTTGAAGGGCATATGGAAGAGTCTGCCTGCCCGCCAGGGGTCGTTGGTGCGATGCACACTGGCCAGCAACCCCTCGAACAGCACTCCCTGGTGGTAGTTATGGGAGAAGAAGGATGGGGGCAGTGTGGGTTGGGCAGACACAGGGGGACATGCTCATGCCGTGCTTGCTTGCAAGGCACATAGAAGTAGTCCACCTGCCAGGGGTCATTGGTGCGATGCACACTAGCCAGCAGCCCCTCGAACAGCACCCCCTGGTGGTTGTGGGGAGGGGCAGAGGGAGGGAGTAGCCGTGTGGTGTGGGTTAAGCACAGAGGAACATGCGGGACGCTTGCTTGACATGACAGGCATGTGTGAGTAGTCCGCGTGCGCTGATGACTCTCCTGCCTGCCAGCGGCAAATAGAAATAGTCCGCCTGCCAGCGGCACATAGGTGACTTTTGAGTCGACTCAAAAGGTGACTTTTGACTTTTGAGTCGACTCAAAAGGTGACTTTTGACTTTTGAGTCGACTCAAAAGGTGACTTTTGACTTTTGAGTCGACTCAAAAGGTGACTTTTGACTTTTGAGTCGACTCAAAAGGTGACTTTTGACTTCTGAGTACACTCAAAAGGTAACTTTTGACTTTTGAGTCGACTCAAAAGGTGACTTTTGACTTTTGAGTCGACTCAAAAGGTGACTTTTGACTTTTGAGTCGACTCAAAAGGTGACTTTTGACTTTTGAGTCGACTCAAAAGGTGACTTTTGACTTTTGAGTCGACTCAAAAGTCTCCTGCCTGCCAGCGGCACATAGAAATAGTCCGCCTGCCAGCGGCACATCGAAATAATCCCTCACTCTCACGTTCTTTGGAAGACCATTCCTCACCTCCAGGCCATACAGCCAGCCGTGGTTGAAGTCTGTTTCGTTCTGGTAGCCGTAGAGCCACGGGGTGCAGTAGAACCGGCTGTGCCTGCCCTGACAGCAGGGGAGGAAGGGGAGGAAGGAAGGGAGGGGAGGGGATGGGAGGAGGGAGATGCAGTCTTCTCTGGTACTGAACAGGTGATATGTGGTGCAGTGGGGTGCATATGTCTCTTGCTCAAAGCCGTAGAGCCACTGGACGCTGTAGAACCAGCTGTGCCAGCCTGCCCGCAGAGCAGGGGTGGTGGGAGCAACGTAGAGGACATAGAGTGGGGAAAAATTGCTACGGCTTAGGCATATAAGCATGCAATGGGAAGGGCTCAGCAACAGGTATGCGCTGACTTTTCATTCGGCTCACAACACAACCAGCACAGCACACCGGCTTTCGGTCAACTCAAGACCAACCAGCACAGAGAAGGACCCACCTGGAAAGGGTGCGAGGACAGCTCTGCTGGCAGATCGTAGATGTAGATCAACGGGTGGTGCCTAGGGGCCAAAATATTTCTAAGTCAGTTTCTTATCGGTTTCATTTGTCAACTCGCAGTAGCACACTGAATGGACCGACCCACCTGGAAAGGGTGCGAGGACAGCTCTGCTGGCAGATCGTAGATGTAGATCAACGGGTGGTGCCAAGGGGCCAAAATATTTCTAAGTCAGTTTCTTATCGGTTTCATTTGTCAACTCGCAGTAGCACACTGAATGGACCGACCCACCTGGAAAGGGTGCGAGGACAGCTCTGCTGGTAGGTCGTATATGTAGATCAACGGGTGGCGCCTTGGGGCCACGAGAGACCTGGCGGCGCCACTAGAAGCAGACGCCATCCCTGTTGCTGTTGAAGCTGCTGCTGCTGCTGCTGATGCTGGTGCTGATGCTGATACCACTGCACCAGAATCCGATTTTTCTGCTCCTCCTCCTCCCACTTCCTCCTCTGCCACGTCTAACTCCACCTCCTCCCACGTTTCCCTGTCTGCAGACACCCCAAACCATTCTGGAAGAGGCAACGATGCATGCTCAGCCCGTCCTGTCTCTCCAACCTGCTCAGCCTGTTCCGTCTGCACAACCTGCCCAGCCTGCCCCTCATGCTCTCTGTGCCCTCCAGGTTCCCCTTGCTCGGAGGAGCTTCGTCCCGATTCACTGCCACCGGTAGCGTCTGTTGATGAGGGTGTGAGTGCCAGGGCTGCTGCTGTGGGCTGGGACGGCAGGCTGCAGTCAATGCCGTACCACCCAGGCTGACACTGGATTAGGAGAAGAGGGAAGGGGAGATTGGGAGAAAGGGGGCGATGGGTGGAGAGGGGGGAGAGGAGGGGGGTAGGGGGTGAGGAAGGGAAAGTGCTAGAGCTGCTGCTGCTGTGGGCTGGGATGGCACGCTGCAGACAATGCCGTACCACCCAGGCTGACACTGGATTAGGAGAAGAGGGAAGGGGAGATTGGGAGAAAGGGGGCGATGGGTGGAGAGGGGGGAGAGGAGGGGGGTAGGGGGTGAGGAAGGGAAAGTGCTAGAGCTGCTGCTGCTGTGGGCTGGGATGGCACGCTGCAGACAATGCCGTACCACCCAGGCTGACACTGGACAAGGGGGGGAAGAGAGGCGGGCGGTGAGGGGGGAAGAGGGCATATGTGCGCAAGAAAGGGAATGTGTGAGTGCAAGAGCTGCTGCTGTGGGCTGGGATGGAGCGCTGCAGACAATGCCGTACCACCCAGGCTCGCACTGGAGAGGGGGAAGAGGGGCGAAGGGCGAGGGGAGTGGGGGGAGAGAAGTGAGTGCGGAAGGGGCGTGTGCGTGCAAGAGAGGGCGCGAGAGAGTGCAAGAGAAAGGCACATGCGAGCGAAACGTTTTTAAGAGAGGGGTGGAAGGTGTTTGGGAAGAAAGACACAAGAAGAGAAACACAAAAAATACAAAAGAACGAGGAGAGGGGGGGGGGAGGGAAGGGAAGAAAGGGACAGGGTGGAATTCAGGGGGGGAAGGCAGGATAGATAACAATGGAAACAAAAGCAAGGTATGATGAAATAAAAAGATGAAAAAAAGGGCTACCTTGCAGTACCCTGTTTGGCACTCCCCTCGGCCTTGACACCCCCCCGCACAGTACGCCTTCACGGGCACGTGGCAAAATTGTCCGCCCTGCCCATCGTACGGGCACGCGCAGGGAGAGCCCTCGAGTTTTTGCTGCCCGGAATCTGCTTTGGCAGGGTCGATTTGGCACCAGCCCATGGCACTGGGAGAGGTGAGGCGGACTTTGGAGATGTTGGGGTGTAGAAACCAGTCCCTGCGTTGGTAGTGGGGTGGGGAGGGAGGCGGATGGCATGAGAGGGAGGGAGGCAGGGTCGATTTGGCACCAGCCCATGCCGGATGGAAAGAGAGGATGGAAGGGGAGAGGAAGCAATGCTGGGGTCGATTTGGCACCAGCCCATGGCACTGGGGGAGGTGAGGCGGACTTTGGAAACGTTGGGGTGTAGAAACCAGTCTCTGCGTTGAGGGAAAGGCGGATGGCATGAGAGGGAGGGAGGTGGGATCGATTTGGCACCAGCATATGGCGCTGGGGGAGGAGAGGACTTTGAAGATGTTGGGGTGTAGGAACCAGTCTCAATGTTGGTGGTGGGGTGGGAGATGGATCGCATGAGAGGGAGGGAGGCAGGGTCAATAATTCATTGGCACCAGCCCATGCCCATGGTGGTGGGGGAGGTGAAGCGGACTTTGGAGATGTTGGGGTGTAGAAACCAGTCTCTGGGATGGTGGTGGGGTGGGGAGGGAGGCGGATGGCAAGAGAGGGAGGGAGGTGGGATCAATTTGACACCAGCATATGGCGTTCGGGAGGCAGGAACACTTTCAATTTGAGTTCGGGGAACACAAGAACCTTGGGAATTCTTAGACATCGCAGGTCAAATCCTACGATACTCGAGCATTTGTCAAGTAACAACAGTCGAGGCGGCTTCCAATACCTCCGACTCACTGCTCCAAGGACCTCCCCTCCAGCTCACCCTTTCTCTGCGTTGAACCCGCACGCTCCTAATAGTGGTCTGGTGGGATAGGCCGTGGAGTTCCCACAAAGACAGAAAGGGAGAAGGGAGAAGGGGGAAGGGACGAGTGTGGAGCCTCACCCTTTCTCTGCGTTGAACCCGCACGCTCCAAATAGTGGTCTAGTAGGATAGGCCGTGGCATTCCCACAGAGACAGCGCGCAGTTGTGGTGTCACAGAAAGCTTCGAGCGGGCACGAAGACACCGCCCACATGCCCAGAGGGGCGTTGGGGGAAGCCGGCATGTTGCAGGGGAGGGGCGAGAGGAGCGAGCAGTCCGGGCCTGGGGGAGGGGGAGGGGGGAGGGGAAGAGGTGTGGGGGGGGGAAGCAGGGGAAGGTATTGAATGAGGGAAACATCAAATCCCTGCTAGGGACATGCAGACAGACACCAAACATGAGCCCAGAGGGGCGTCGGGGGAAGCCGGCATGTTGCAGGGGAGGGGCGAGAGGAGAGAGCAGTCCAGGCCTGGAGGGAGTGGAAGACGAGGAGGGGAAAAGGAACGGGGGTGAGTGGGGGAGGGGACGGAGGGGAAGAGCGCAGGAGCGGGTGGGGAGGGTAGGGAAGGAGGAAGAAGGAGAGTTGGGACTTGGGATGTGGGAGGAGAAGCGTAAGAACCCTGCTAGAGACATGCAGACAGGCAGACACCACACCACCCATGCGGTCAGGACTCAGGGGAGCATCGGGGGAAGCAGGTATGTTGTAAGGGAGGGGCGAGAGGAGAAAGCAGTCCCGGAGTGGGAGTGGGAAGGGGGGGGAAGGGGGGAGGGAGGGAAGAAGGCATGAAAGGGCAGGGAAGGGCAAGGGAGGGTATAGGAGGACAGAGGAAGGAAGAATGTATGTATCCCACGGACCCACGGTATCCCACCACAGCCACGATAAGAAGTGGCAGCCGCAGCCAGTATAATCACAACATTTGATCCCACTGTAATATATCATCCTCCTCTACACCCTAACACCACCCAATCCAATCCATCTTGGCATCCCTATAACCACCCTCCCCCTCCCCCGCCCTCCCCCCCCCCCCCCCCCCTTCCCCCCCATCCCCCTCCCACCCCCCCCACACCGCACCTTTGTATCCAATGGGGCACTGACACGTGCCTCTGTGGTGGTTGCACACGCCCCTGCCACTGCAGTCATTGGGGCATGGCTCTGAATACCAGCACTGGGGAAGAAAAGGGTTGGTGGGTGGGGGAAACGGGGTTGCCGGAAAAGGGTGGGGGGAAAGGGGTGGGGGGAAAGGGGTGGGGGGAAAGGGGTGGGGGGAAAGGGGTGGGGGGAAAGGGGTGGGGGTAAAGGGCGGGAGGATTGGAGTTTTGCAACGTGTCAAAAAAATGGAATTGCAGCTTGGCATGGAAAACATCGCTGGAAAAGGGTGGGTGGGGGACATGCAGCCAATAGAGGACGGAGAGGGCAAAAGAACAGATTTGAAGAGGTAGGGAGAGACGAGAAGGAAATGCACTTTGGGAGACGAAGGGAAGGTGGGGTGGGGTTGTGGGAAACGAAGGGGACCAAACAGACAGAGGCGTGGCCGCATGGCTAATAAGATAAACATTGAGGCACGACACTGAGAAAAAGAAGCGCTTGGAAAGAGGTTGGGCGCGGAGGGGGTGGGGGAAATCGAAGGGAACTCTTAACAGAAAATGGGGATTGACTCTGAGAAGCCGCTCGGAAAAGGGTGCAGGGGGAGAAGGGGGGGGGGGGGGAGGGAGGTTGGGTGGGGTGGGGAGGGGTTGTGGGCATCCACATGCCCATGCCCATGCCCATACCCATGCCCATGCCCATGCCCATGCCCATGCCCATGCCCATGCCCATGCCCATGCCCATCCCATCCCAGCCCAGCCCAGCCCAGCCCAGCCCAGCCCAGCCCAGCCCAGCCCAGCCCAGCCCAGCCCAGCCCAGCCCAGCCCAGCCCAGCCCAGCCCAGCCCAGCCCAGCCCAGCCCAGCCCAGCCCAGCCCAGCCCAGCCCAGCCCAGCCCAGCCCAGCCCAGCCCAGCCCAGCCCAGCCCAGCCCAGCCCAGCCCAGCCCAGCCCAGCCCAGCCCAGCCCAGCCCAGCCCAGCCCAGCCCAGCCCAGCCCAGCCCAGCCCAGCCCAGCCCAGCCCAGCCCAGCCCAGCCCAGCCCAGCCCAGCCCAGCCCAGCCCAGCCCAGCCCAGCCCAGCCCAGCCCAGCCCAGCCCAGCCCAGCCCAGCCCAGCCCAGCCCAGCCCAGCCCAGCCCAGCCCAGCCCAGCCCAGCCCAGCCCAGCCCAGCCCAGCCCAGCCCAGCCCAGCCCAGCCCAGCCCATCCCATCCCATCCCATCCCATCCCATCCCATCCCAGCCCAGCCCAGCCCAGCCCAGCCCAGCCCAGCCCAGCCCAGCCCAGCCCAGCCCAGCCCAGCCCAGCCCAGCCCAGCCCAGCCCAGCCCAGCCCAGCCCATCCCATCCCATCCCATCCCATCCCCATTCATACCTCTTCTACTGCTACAGCTGGTAGCGGGTTTGCATGCTCTTTCAACCACCGACCAACCGCAGGCCGCCACGTGGCACCTCGAAATCGCACCCCAACCTCACTCAACTCCTTTCCCTCCTGCCCCGCCCCTCCTTCCCCCCCCCTTCCCAACCTCTCGTACTTTATAGTCACATTCGATGCAATCACACGCAGCTGAGCCAACCCCCACACCTGCCGGCCTTTCTCATTGAGCCCTATAACCATTCCTCCGCTCCTCTTATCCCCCTCTCCAGAATATTCTCGCCAAAAGGGGATCTTCTTCCCGTTATAATACTTTGCTTCCAGCTCCCTCGCTCGTTCATCACTCCACGAGTTGTGATCTGCCCTCGATATAGTCACATTCTCGCTATTTTCTCTCGCAAAGGCTTCTAACGCGGATAAAGTCCACCCGTTGATCTCTCTATCCGCCTCCGCGGATTCTTCCGCGCCCCCCGTGTCTCCCCCTTCCGCCCCCAACTCTCCCCCTCCCGCGAATGTACACTCCCAGTCCTCCGCGCCAGGTCCGCCTATCCACCCCGCTTCCGCGCTTCCGCTTGCGCCATTCCCCCCGCCCACCACGCGCCAATTCCCCCAGCCCCACGCCCATCCCCACACCCCTCCAATTCCACTCCCCCGCGCCCATCCTCTTCCGCCTGAGCCTGCTGCGTCCGCGTCCCCCCGACGCTGCGCCAATTCCCTCTGCGCCTGCTCCGCCCAATTATGCGCCACCTTCCCCTCCGCGCCTTGCGCCATCCGCAGGCGGGCGGGGTGGCGGGGTGGCGGCTTGCGCAGCATCCGCGCAGGCCCAAGCCCCGTGATATCGGACAGAATCAGCAGCGCCGCCAGCGTGACCAGTGCTGCCAGCGCGCCCGCGCGCATCTGCGCAGATGGCGGCGTGCGCCCATGCCCGCCGTGCCCGCCGCCGCCAGCGCCAGCGCCAGCGGCCGCCGGCGCAGCGGTGAAGCGCGTGCGCTGACCGTGGGACAAGAGTGCGGCGGGTTTGCGCGGGCCGGCTGTCGGATCTTCCGCCGCTTGCGCAGAAGATCCGATCCGTTGAAACACGCGCATTACGAGATATTATTTTAATTGACTCAAAACGCGCGCATCATCACGAGAGAAAAGACCCACTGGCTTAGGGGAAGAAAACTCTGGGAACACCAGCGCATTAGAGCGGACACGCTGACATCCGCGTTATAGAGACCTACGGCAGAGTTTGCTATGGTCGGCTTGTTGGGGTGAGGGCAAGCGAGGCGTGATGTGAAACGTGTGTGGAAGCTCGCATTTGCTTGGTAGCTCGCATTTGCTTGGTTCGTTTGTGGAAAGAGGTGCAACATCGTATCTAAACCTCAGAATTACCATCCTGTTTCAATACAATGCAAAGAACACGTTTTCTACCACAAGTTCTCTACGAGCTTCTATTGCACGATACCTAGAATAAAAAGAATAACCTACGGTGAAAGAAGAAGATGGATGGGTGAAGGAACCCCAAATGCGGTACCTGCACAAACAAGAACCACCATATCACTATGAACTAGGCCTTCTAATCTAAGCACCCTCAACATTCGTAGACCCCTCAGTCCCTTCCCCTTCTCCTCCTGCTGCTGCTGCTGCTGCTGCTGCTTCCCCCTCCCCAGCAGCCCCCCCGCCTTCTTTCTTCACAAAGGGTACCTCTGCAGTAAATGTGAAGGGCTTGCCCGGTTCATATGCTGCCTGGAGCTCGTCTGAAGACTGGGTGGTCTTGGCGTCGCCTGTTGATGTTAAGCCTTTCTGTGAGTGGGAAGACGGGAGGTGGGGGAGGTGGGGTGGGGGTGAGGTAGGAAGTGGATTCGGGGTGAGATGAATGTGAAAGGCTTTTCTGGTTCATATGCTGCCTGCAGCTCATCTGAAGACGCGTCGCCTGCTGATGTCAAGCCTTTCTGCGAGTGGGGAGGGGAGGTGGGGTTAAAGCCCGAGTCCCAAATTGCGGGCCGCGCGGGTCAAGCTTTTAAAACTTGACGAACTAGTGTTTTCAAGGTTTGAAGAAAAGCGTGCCTGCAATTTGGGACTTTTGGGAACTGAACCAACCCCCAGGGCGAAATACGAGGGCGGGCTGGGTTTGGCGAAAAAAACGAAAAAAGCGAAATCGGAATCTTTCGCCAAAACCCTCACCACAAAAACCCCCTCGCGTCAACCTTTTAAAACTTGTGCAATTTGGGCTGCCGGCTTTAAGGTGGAATGTGGAGGTGGGGGTGCAGTGAATGTGAAAGGCTTGCCCGGCTCATATGCTGCCTGCAGCTCGTCTGACGACTGGGTGGTCTTGGCGTCACCTGCTGATGTTAAGCCTTTCTGTGAGTGGGGTAGGGGAGGTGGAGGTGGGAGGTGGAGGTGGGGGTGAGGTGGGGGGTTGGGTGGGAGTGTACTGAATGTGAAAGGCTTGCCCGGTTCATATGCTGCCTGCAGCTCGTCTGATGACTGGGTCGTCTTGGCGTCGCCTGCTGATGTTAGGCCTTTCTGTGAGATGGGATGGGACCCAGTTGAACCGCATCCAACATATGCATCTAACCTGGCCCTATTGATAAGCCAGCAGCGACTTGTTAACAAGCTCTGTGATGACAAAAGAGCCTTACCATCCTTGTCACCATTTTTTAGGCACCTCAAAAGTCGTCTATTATCCCGCAACCTTATCATCCTTGTCACCACCTGCTGCTTATGAGGCCCTCCCCACCCCCCTCGCCTCCCTCTTCAGCACCACGCAACCCTCACCTGGTCCGGGTAAGCCAGCAGCGACGTGTTGATCAGCTCTCTGATTATGAACCCTATCATTCTCGTGCCTGCTTTGAGTCGGCCCAAAACATGATGAACCCTGTCACACTCGTGCCTGGACTCGACCCCCTATCATTACCCACTGTGCCGTGCCAGGGCAACTCACCGCCTGCTGTTTCTGAGGCCCTTCCTGGCCCCCTCCCCTCACCTGGCCGAGATAAGCCAGCAGCAACTTGTTCATCAGCTCTCTGATGATGAACCCTATGACCACTGGCTGTTTATCAGGCCCATCCCCTCCCACCCTCCCTCCACCTCCCCGCTCCTCTCTCTCCCCCCCCTCCCCTCTCCTGGTCCAGGTAAGCCAGCAGCGACTTCTTGATCAACTCTCTGATTATGAACCCTATTGTTAAGCCTCCAAACCCCCAAACCCACTTTTTAGGCCAGACCAACTCAACCCCCTCCCCCCACTCTTCCGCTCTTTCCCCTTCCCTCCACCCCCCTTCCCCCCCCCTTCCTGTTACCAGCACATCATCCCACCTGGTCCAGGTAAGCCAGCAGCGACTTGTTAATAAGCTCTGTGATGATGAATCCTATCACCCGGGAGCGACCCAGGAAGCGCAGCACCACTGCCTTGTCAACCTGTGAAAGGAGGGGAGGGGGAGGAGCGAGGGGGGACGAGGGCGGCGGTGGGAGGGGGGGAGGAAGGGGGTGAAGAATGTAAGGTATTGATAAGCTCTGTGAGGGGGAAGGGGGGAGGGGGGCGGGGGGAGGGGGGCGGGGGAGGGGGAGGGGGGGGGGAGGTTGGAGTGGGGAGGGGGGAGGGGGGAGGGGGAGAAAAGGGAAGGGAGTGCAAGGTGGGGGGGGAATAGCTGCACCATGGGAGTTAGAAGTGGAGCAGAGCAGCAGAGCAGTAGGACTCAAAAGGTGGAGCAGAGCAGCAGAGCCTCTGTGGACGGCTAAACCATAACACAGTAATGAGCCTCTATGTGAGCGGCTGAAGCTGTGGATACAAGACGCCTCTCTGCCTTCTGAGTCGACTCAAACGTCAGGAAGAACGGATGGATCCTTCACAGGGGATAGCAGTGCAATGAATAATGAATGAACGAACGAACGAACGAACGAACGAACGAACGGTGGATGTGCAGAACCCCCACTGCCGTGAACCCCCCTGGAGCATGCGTGGTTCCCCAGGCACTGGACCATGTGTGGTTGGTTGCCATGCCATGCCATGCCATGCCATGCCATGCCATACCATGCCATGCCATGCCATGCCATGCCATGCCATACCATGCCATGCCATACACGCATGCCCCAGCTCCAGTTCCAGTTCCAGGGTGCGAATTCACTCACCCCTGCTTGCTTGCCTGTTTGTTGGGTATGGTATCGTTCCAGCATCACCACAGTATGCGGTACACATGAGAGGGAACAGGAGAGGGGCAAGAAGAGGATACGAGAGAGGGAAGGGGGGGGGGGAGGTGGGGGGGGGGTAGAAGAAGAGAGGAGCAAAGAGAAGAGGGGAGTGCAGTTCAGGAGGAGAAGAGCGAAGAGGAGAGGGGAGAGCGAGCAACTTAGGAGAAGAGAGGGGAGAGGAGAGGGGAGAGCAATTCAGGAGGAGAAGGGAAAAGGTTGGATGTGTGAAGGGCAGGAGAAGGACAAACGGGAAGGGCGAACGGAAAGGTTGAAAGCAATAAGGAAATGGGTTGAAGGATTGGGAAGTGGGGATGGGAACGGGAAACGGGAAGGGGGGATGGGAAGGGGGAATGGGAAGGGGAAATCAAACGGGAGGAATGGGTGTACAGAACGAAAGGGCAAAGCGGAAAGAAAGGTTGAACGGAACTGGGGATTGAAAACAGCAAAATGGACAAACCTTTTCCAGGCTACCTCCCTTCCCGAGCCTACGCCCCTTACCAAGCCAATGCCCCATTTTGAGCCTACCTCCCTTCCCCAACCTACTCCCCTTAACCAAGCCTATGCCCCATTTTGAGCCTACCTCCCTTCCCCAACCTACTCCCCTTAACCAAGCCTATGCCCCATTTTGAGCCTACCTCCCTTGCCGAGCCTGGCCCCGGGCAGCGGCGGGCACTCCTTGGCTAGCGAGCGTAGCGTGCCGTCAAAGAGCATGGCCGTCTCACTGCCTGCGACATCGACACGTACCTGATGGGAGGAAAGGGGAGGGGAGGGAGCGTGACGTCAAATAGCATGGCCGTCCGTCTCACTGCCTGCGACGTCCACTCGCACCTGATGGGAGGGTAAGCATTGAGAGGAAACGTAAAGAAGGTGAGAGGGGAAGGAATGTGGAAAATGGAGTGGAGTGCTGTCAAAGAGCATGGCCGTCTCACTAGGTGAGTTGCAAGGGGTGGAGTGGAGTGATGCTGCTGTCTGTCGTGGCTCAGTCGTGAAATCCATTGCTGCCGACCGGATGACTTTGAGTCAACACAAATGCCATCCCCAGGGAGAGGGAGCACGCACCGTGATGCTGCTGTCTGTCATGGCTTCAGTCGTGGAATGAAATCAACTGCTGGTCGCCCCTTTTGACTCAACTCACCCAAAACATGAACCCAGAGCACACATTGGGAAACCCACACAGGCACACATATAGAAGAGAACTCAAGAGAGGGGAGCACACACTGTGATGCTGCTGTCTGTCATGGCTTCAGTCGTGAAATCCACTGCTGCGAACCTTTGCTTGGACTCACTGTGTATGAGAGTGATGCCAGGCAGGGAGTGGGACCGTGAGAGCATGCACGCACCGTGATGCTGCTGTCTGTCATGGCTTCAGTCGTGAAATCCACTGCTTGTTGCCCCTTTGGAGAGCACGCACCCATAATATTTCACAGAGAATGCATCGAGAACCCAGGAGAGGAGAGAACTCACCGTGATGCTGCTGTCTGTCATGGCTCCAGTCGTGAAATCCACTGCAGGTCGCCCCTTCATGCTGCTGCTGCTGCTGCTGCTGCTGCTTTAGCAGCCTTGGAAGCCTTAGGGGCCTTTGCTGGTTTCTCCTCTGCAGCAGGCGCAGCAGCATCAGCAGCAGCAGCAGCAGCCTCTCCGGAAGCAGAAGCAGGGTCAGCAGGGGGCTTCTTGGCCTTCTTGAAGTTCTTTTTAGGGCCGCCCTTTGCTGCTAGCACCAGCACGACAGGTGCTGCAGTTGATGATGCAGCAGCAGTGGTGGCAGAGAGGGTGGTTGAGCTGGTGCGGTGGAGAGGGGAGAGGGACACTGCGGAGAGAGAGGGTGGGAGGGAAGGGAGGGAGGACGGGAGGGGAGGGAGGGGAGAGGGCGGGAGAGGTGGAGGATGGGAAGGGAGGAAGGGAGGGGAGAGGACGGGACAGGAGGAGGGGAGGGAGGGAGGGAAGAAAGGAAGAGGAGGGAAGGGATTGCGGGGAGGAAGGGGAGAGAGGGGAGGGAAGGAGGAGGGGATGGAGAGGAGGGAGGTGAGGGAGGGGCGGGAGGGGAGGGAGGAGATGAAGGGGAGGAAGGAAAGGACCGGGAAGGAGAGGGCGGAAGAATACGAAGGGGAGGAAAGGGAGGAAGGATGGGAGGGAAGGACGGGAGGGCATGAAAGGGGGAGGGAGAAAAGGGGAGTTAAAAGGGCGAGAAGCCATGGCAAGTAATTCAGGGCAAAAGAAAGGAGGGGTGGAGGGGTGGAAAGGTCGAGATATACAAGGGTGGATGGAAGGCTGTAGGGTGGAGGGGTGGAGGGTTGGAGGGGTGTGGGGGTGGAGGGGTGGGGGGTGGACGGGTGGGGGGGTGGACGGGTGGGGGGGTGGAGTGGAGGGAGCTGGGCGGCAGGGTGGGAGATGGTCAGGCGGCAGAGGGGCAGAGGCGTTACGAACACACAGGGGAGATAGTCAGGAGAAAAGGATATTCTCAGTGGTGTGGAACGGTGATGACAGGTTGAGAAAGCAGGGCACGGAACAGGCACAGGCAGAGGCAGAGGCAGAGGCAGAGGCAGAGGCAGAGGCAGAGGCAGCGGCAGCGGCAGCGGCAGCGAACCACACATGCTGTACCTGAATGCGAATGCTGTACCTGAATGCGAATGCTGTACCTGAATGCGAATGCTGTACCTGAATGCGAATGCTGTACCTGAATGCGAATGCTGTACCTGAATGCGAATGCTGTACCTGAATGCGAATGCTGTACCTGAATGCGAATGCTGTACCTGAATGCGAATGCTGTACCTGAATGCGAATGCTGTACCTGAATGCGAATGCTGTACCTGAATGCGAATGCTGTACCTGAATGCGAATGCTGTACCTGAATGCGAATGCTGTACCTGAATGCGAATGCTGTACCTGAATGCGAATGCTGTACCTGAATGCGAATGCTGTACCTGAATGCGAATGCTGTACCTGAATGCGAATGCTGTACCTGAATGCGAATGCTGTACCTGAATGCGAATGCTGTACCTGAATGCGAATGCTGTACCTGAATGCGAATGCTGTACCTGAATGCGAATGCTGTACCTGAATGCGAATGCTGTACCTGAATGCGAATGCTGTACCTGAATGCGAATGCTGTACCTGAATGCGAATGCTGTACCTGAATGCGAATGCTGTACCTGAATGCGAATGCTGTACCTGAATGCGAATGCTGTACCTGAATGCGAATGCTGTACCTGAATGCGAATGCTGTACCTGAATGCGAATGCTGTACCTGAATGCGAATGCTGTACCTGAATGCGAATGCTGTACCTGAATGCGAATGCTGTACCTGAATGCGAATGCTGTACCTGAATGCGAATGCTGTACCTGAATGCGAATGCTGTACCTGAATGCGAATGCTGTACCTGAATGCGAATGCTGTACCTGAATGCGAATGCTGTACCTGAATGCGAATGCTGTACCTGAATGCGAATGCTGTACCTGAATGCGAATGCTGTACCTGAATGCGAATGCTGTACCTGAATGCGAATGCTGTACCTGAATGCGAATGCTGTACCTGAATGCGAATGCTGTACCTGAATGCGAATGCTGTACCTGAATGCGAATGCTGTACCTGAATGCGAATGCTGTACCTGAATGCGAATGCGCGGACGAGAGGCGCGAGAATGAGGCATCGTTGCCCTTGTGTGTGGAAGGGGGTTGCTGGAAACAAGGGCAGGGCATGAAAGGGAGGAGGGAAAGGGGACCCAATTAGGTGCCTTTTGAGTTGACAAAAAAATGTCAGGGCATGAAAGGTAACCAGGTGCGAGAGTAAGGTCGGGAGAGAGAGGGAAAGGGGGGAACGAAGGAAAAAGAGCGAGGAAGAAAGGAAAAAGATAGACAATAACTTAGGAAAAGTTAATACTACCAGAATAAGTTTGAGGGAGCATGCGTGAGGCAGGAGTCTAGAGGTGGAAGGAAAGACAGGACATGTACTTGCGAGCAAGGGGAACGGAGAAAAGAGGACCATTCAAAGTGGCAAGGGGGCCGGAGGGAAGGAAAGATTAAGAGTTGGGGGGGGGGCGAAGGAGAGGGGTGGGGGGGTGGGATGGGGTGGTTGGGAAAGGAGGGGAGGGGGTGTTGAATTCTTGGCATATGCATGGCATGTGCATGTCATGTATGGAATAGTGAGATTTTGAAAAAAACAAGAGAGAAACGAGGGGTGCAAGGGCAGAATCTGGATACACCATAACCCTCAAACCTTAGACTAGACACGACATAAAAGTCAAAACCCTAGACGCACCATACATCTCACAACGCGAACCCTCAACTAATGACCACAGATTAACCTCTTGCAGCAACCACACCTCTCACCTCCACTACCTAACAGCCACTCCCCTTGTTACTTAAATTATCTTCCCTCCCTCTTTTCCACCCCCCAATCCCCTTCCCACCCACACCCCCACCCGCACCCCCACCCGCACCCCCACTCCCTTCCCCCTCCCCTCCCCCCCTTTTCCTCCCCCTCGCCCCCTCCCCCCTTCCACCCCTCCACCTCTTTCAATGAACTGTCAATCAAGTCTCTCAGTGCCAATCCCAATGACCTGTTGAATCTGTCAGTCCCTCCCTCCGTTCCACTAACCCTCCCTCCCTCTGTCCCTCCCTCCGTTCCACTAACCCTCCGTCCCTCTGTCCCTCCCTCCGTCTCTCAGGCTCGTATCATGGCTAGGGCCTCAGTGCCTCACCCACCCTCAAACTGGCTGACGTGGCGAGCACGGAGCGCCCGCTCATGCTGACGGGGATGGCAGCCATTGGAGCCGCGAAGTGCCACGTGGACGCGTCTGGAGAAGGGGAGTGGGGAAACGGGGAGAGGGGGTGCGCGACGAGGGGGAAAGGGGAGGCAGGGAGGGGAAATGCGGAGGGGGAAAACAGGGGGACGGGGGAGAGGAGAACGGGAAGGGAGAAATGGCAGGATCGGTGCACATGGGTGAGGAACGGTCGTGTGGCGGGAGAAGGGCGGTGGAGAGGGGCGGAGGGCGGAAAGGCGGCGGGAGGAGGGCGGGAAGGGCGGACGGCGGAAGCGGGGAGGGAAGTGGGGGAGTAGAAGAGAAGAGGGACGGGGGCGAGAGCGGGCAGGGGGAAAGAGAGGGGGCAGGGGGGAAAGAGAGGGGGCTGGGGGGGAAGAGAGGGGGAAGTGGGGAGGGAGGAGGAAAATGCGGAAAAGGGCACGAAACTGGGGGATGCGGAATTGGATGCGGAAGGAGGCAGGAGCGAAAAAAAACTGAATGCGGAAGAGGAATGAGGAGGGAAGGGCACGGGCGAATGGGCTTGAGGAGCGGGGGAAGGGGGGGGAAGGGGGATGGACGGCGCATCACGCGAAGAGAAGGAACAAGAAGACATTATAGAGAATTCGCAAAAGGATCTGAAAGACGACGAAGTAGATGAGCGTGCGGACGAGCGGCATCATGCGAGATCAAATCAATTTCGAAAAATCCGTCAAGATCCGGCGGATGTTCGCCGCAAATGGCGCCTTTGCTCCTACGCAAAGGACGGAAGGCTCGTGACGTCACTTACAGGCAGCAGAAACCGAAGCAAGACTTGAGGGAAGAAAGGGAGAGTGAAGGGGGGTTGCTCTTGGGATTATGCGTGGCTTGTCCGAAATTTCAGTGGGCTAACTATGGCTGCGTTCTGCGGGCGCATCAGCTCTGATGCGCCCTAGGCTCGGCCTGATCCGCACATTGACAAATTGAGGTTCGGGAATGAGGAATTTGAAATTGAAAAATAGAGGTTCGGAAAATCGGAAAATGGAGGGCTGCGTTCGGCGGCCGCATCAGAGCCTGATGCGCCCTAGGCTCGGCAAATTGACAAATTGAAAAATTGAGGCTCGGGCTGCGTTTTGCGGCCGCATCAGCTCTAATGCGCCCTAGGCTCGGCCTGATCCGCACATTGACAAATTGAGGTTCGGAAATCGGGAATTTGAAATAGAAAATTTGAGGTTTGGAAAATGGAAATTGAGGTTCGGAAAATTGGAAATCCGAGATTTGAAAATCTCGACATTTCAGATGTCGATTTCAAATTTCCTCAAATTCGGCATTGTAGAGGGATCGGGGAAGTCAGACCGCACGTGCCTGACACCTTCGCCTGATGCCTGTACATCCTGCCCGAAGCTGCCCACACACGAGCCCGGTAGCTACCTAAAAATCCGAAGGGGAAACTCGAACACCCTTGAGATCTAAACCCCTCTGCATCGATTTAGAAACCTTTTTTTAGTTTGGTTTTGTTTCTGGCGTCGGGGGGCAGAGGGCAATCACTGTCGCGGCCACTTTTTTTTTATGGCGTTGTTCAGTTGCCCCATTCGAGCTGATGCGCGCATCATGCGCTTTCCCTGCATTGCATCATGCGCGCATCAAAGATGCGTCAGATTGCTAGGACGCTAAATTTCTAGGAAGTCGGCGACATGTACATTTGTGGTTGCCAAAAAGTCCGTTCTGCAGGCATTCGGGCTTGGTTTGCCTCGGCAGCCAAGCGCTTATCACGAACCTTGATAAGCTTTCGGCTGGTTATCACGGAAGGCTCCTGGAAAATCGGAAAAAAAATTGAAATGTACATTGATGCGGGCTAATGCGGCCGCAGAACGCAGCCTCGGTAATGTCCAAATTGAAATTGGAAAATGGAGGTTCGGAAAATGGACACGCAGGTTCGGGAAATCGGAAATTGGGGATGTCGAATTTCGGGCATGTCAAATTTCGACCCCAAAATTCCGACGAATTCCAGGGTGTTGAGCTTTCATCGAAGTGGGGAAGAACGCACCTGGCGCCTTCCCCACATGCATGATGCGCTGTTCAATTGCCCCAATTCGAGCTGATGCGCGCATCATGCGTGTTTAGGGCGTTGCATCATGCGCGCATCAAGGATGCGTCAGATTGCTAGTACGCTGTATTTCCTGGAAAGCGGCGACATGCAAATTTGTGGTTGCCAAAAAGACCGTTCTGCAGGCATTCGGGCTTGGTCTGCCTCGGCAGCCAAGCGCTTATCACGAACCTTGATAGCCTTTCGGCTGGTTATCACGGAAGGCTCCTGGAACATCGAAAAAAATGTGCAATGTACATTGGTGCGGGCTAATGCGGCCGCCGAACGCAGCCGAGATTGAGGTTCGGGAAATCGGAAAATGGAGATTTCTAATTTCGGGCATGTCAATTTTCGATCTCAAATTTCCGAGGAATTCTATGGTGCTGAAGGTTCTTTGAAGCAGGGAAGCACGCACTTGACGCCTTCCCCACACCCCTAATTTCGAATTTCAATTGCCCAATTCTATTTGATGCGCGCATCATGCGCGTTCCCTGCGTTGCATCATGCGCGCATCAAAGATGCGTCGATTGCTAGGTAGATAAATTTCTTGGAAAGCGGAGACATGAAAATTTGTGGTTGCCAAAAAGACCGTTCTGCAGGCATTCGGGCTTGGTTTGCCTCGGCAGCCAAGCGCTTATCGCGAGCCTTGATAACCTTTCAGCTGGTTATCAAGGAATGCTCCTGGAACATTAAAAAAAATTGCAATGTACATTGATGCGGGCTAATGCGGCCGCAGAACGCAGCCTATGAGTGTCAGGATATGGTACACTTACACATGCTAATGCAATACAGATTGTACTAGATAATTAGAACGAGAGTGAATGTGTAAGGAATTTTCTCGACATTCCTTACCGCGACCTGCAACATCGCGTACAGCAATAGCCATTGTTCGCCCGTTACTGCTAACGTGGTTTCACCGAACCATGCACCTGGCCCGGCCGTGTTTGCCTACGCTTCGGGACTAGCCCGAACCTCGATGCCAGCCTAGCACTAGCTAGCTCGCACGCACCGCGTTACCGTTTGCATGTTCCGCGTATAAATGTTCGCTCATGCCTTCGCTCACATTTTTTTTATTCGTTTGGCACCTTACTGCAATCTTCGCTACCTCGATTCGTTGCACCCGTAACAGAAGGTAAGGGCACACCTTTATTAGCGTAACATGCAGACAGTAAGGTGGACTTACTATGTAATGAATCAGACTTCATTAATGTAGATTCCGCTCCTAGCGAGGACAGCCCAAACATTTCGCATAAGTTTATGTTTGGCCTACACTTCGGCCCGAACCACATTCCGAATCGGCCCGCACCAATCACGACATTCTTAATCCACGCACGTCCCAAGGCCCTCGCCTAACACGGTTTCCACCTTACAAGTGCTTTCTTTCTTCATTATCTTGTCATTCTGTAATCGCGCTCTCTTGATAAAGTATTCTCCGTGCACTCTGTTTAATACAAATCATAACATGCGGGCGTGCTAATGCAATGCTAGTCGCGAGTGTAGGCCGGCTTGGCTGATTACAGAAGTGTGTGGTCTAGTAAAACAGACGCACGATGTGGCAACAAACAACATTAATCAATGATCAATCAGGACATCTGGTAAAGAGCAGTCAAGATATGTATGCGTTATGCAGGCGAGAGTTATTGTGGTGACAATAGTGAACTGTGAAATCGACCAATAAGAGACATCACAATTGCCAACGCACCAACTAGACTGTCAAATGTTGTAGCCTGTAGTGAGGCATGTCATGTGGGGTACAGTTGTTAGGGTTAGATATATGTACCCCAAGTCTCAAGTAATATACACATCATTCCGTTAGGATCCTGTTGAATCCCGTTCCTCCCTCTCGCGCCTCTCGCGCCTATTGCGCCCGTCCCGTCCCCTAGCGCCAATCGCACCCGTCTCGTCCCGTCCCGTCCCGTCGCCTCGCACCCATCGTGCCCATCCCGTCCCGTCCCCTCACACCCGCCGCGCCTCCCTGCTCGTCGAGTCGTACCCTACCCATCCCATCGCGTCGCACCCTGCCCGTTCCGTTGTGCCTGCCTTGTTGTCCCGTCGCACCTACCTGCCCGTCGCGTTGCGCCCTACCAGTCCCTATCGCGCCTTGCGCTCGACCCGTTGCGCCTGTGCCGCCCTGCCTCTTGTGCTCCTAGCGCCCTGCCTGTCGCGCCCTGGTCAGGCCTTCGAGGCGCCTGGCAGCCGTAGGTCCATCCCCTCCGCATCAGCTATGGCGGCGCCTAAGGTCCTGCGCTTTGATGCCGAGGGTAGGACGCTGGAGTCCTCTGTCTGGCTCCTCCGTGCGCGGCACCTGCTAAAGAGTTATTGTGAGGCTGACGAGTCACTCTGTTTCTAGCCGTCTTCTGCCGACCCGTCGCTGTTTTTTCGTCACGGTTCTTCACCTTTCTTTGTATTAGACTACGTCGAAGACCTGGTCTTTGCCGATGCTGACACGATTGCTTTGGCGGATGTGAAGTCTGAACTACGGAGGAGACGTACGGGCACTGTTCTTGGTGAGCTGCACCACTACCTTGGCCTACAGATAACCAAGGACAGAGCTAATCGCACCATCACTTTGACCCAATCACACATGTTGAAGTAGGTCCTTCAGTGGTTCAGGTTTCAGTTCTCCACTTCACAGCCTACTCCTCTTGTTGTTGACCACAAACTCACTGGACCCTTCCCTGACGAGCCGTTTGAGCCTAGTGGTCCTTACATTGAGCTTTTGGACTGCCTCATGTACCTGATGACTTGTACTTGCCCGGACCTCGCCTTCCCTCTCAGCATCCTTGCCCGCTTTGTTGCGCCAGGGAGACACCGTCCTGTTCACTGGACAGCTGCTGTGAGGGTGGCGAAGTACCTAGTGACTAATCAGGTGTCGGGCTGGTGCTTGGAGGGAGACAGCCTGTCGTGCTCACTGGCTACTGTGACTCTTCTTACGCCGACGACGTCGAAACCCACAGATCTACGCAGGGGTATTGTTTCAGTCTAGGCTCTGGAGCTGTGTCGTGGAGGTCTACACGGTCGTTACTCCTCTGTCTCGACCTCTACTACTGAGGCCCGGATTGATGGAGCCATGGCTGCATAGGAGCTGCGTTGGTTGATCTTCTTCTTACTAACCTTTGTGAGCGGTCGCGCTCTGCACCGACCTTGTTTACAGACAACGAGGCGATGATTCCCCTGTGTCGAGAGCCTCGACTGGAGAGCATAATGAAGCACATCAGCTTTAGTTACTTTCTTCTTCGGGAGTTGCGGAGGCACGGACATGCTTGTTTGGACTTTGTGGGCTCCGAGGCCAACACTGCAGACATTTTCACCAAGGCTCTTCCGCCTTGTGACCGCTACAGGTTTTGTGTGCAGTTAGGTCTCGTTGACACATGTTCTCGTCTTGTGTTGTCTGTTTGCTTTGTTTGTATTCTTTACATATACCTCTATGAACTCTTGGACTGGCCTTGTGGCCTCTTGTTTGTGCTCGGACTGTGTGGTGACGTTGTGATCCACCCTGAGCTTTGTCTCTTTGTGACTGGTCTTGTGACCGTACGGTTTGGTTGTTGCATGTCACCCCTCAATTAGGCTATGGAGGTGTGTCAAATGTTGTAGCCTGTAGTAAGGCATACCGTATTCTCCCGGATATAACACCCTAGGGTAGATTTAAAAATACAGGAAAAAAAGGGGGAGGTGTCTTCTCATAGGAAAAAGCTACATAATACCCGGGTGCATATATATGGTATATTTTAGTGTACGATTTTTTTTATTGGACAAGTTGAGTGTTTCCATGGGTGTGCTAACATAACATGTTGAGGCGCGAATGGGAGTTTCGACGCGAACGTCATCACCAGGGCTTTTTTTTCGTTTTAGAGTACACTGGTTTCCAGAGGCGTTTTTGGCATGACACTGAAATCCAGAGTGTTTGGCGAGCCTTTCTCTTAGGTGTCAGTGTAACACAAGCTTTCAGGTTAGAAACCCTGGCACCTCAGAGTAATTTTTAACTTTAACTCTGATGTGTATCTAGTGGGTGGCTGCCTGCGTGCGCTGGCATGCAATATGCCTTTCCGGCCAACACACGAGCGAAACACGAGTGATATCCCCTGCGCTTCGGTCAAAACCAGCAGCACGGGGATAAGGGGGAATGTGGGGGGTTCGGGGGCACATGTATCCTCCGTACAGAGTAATCTCACTATCCAGGAAAGAAACACTGGCGCTTCAGAGTGAACTTTCACAAAAACCCTGACAGGTTAGAGAACAAGTAACTCTAAAAAAATTTTCCCAGCAGGTACAGAGTGACCCCCCGAAAACCACTCTGATTTTCAGAGAAACAGAGTAAATTACACTGATAAAAAAACCCCTGGTCATCACCCCCTCGAAAGTGCCATGTGGCACCTGTCTGGCTAGTTGCAGCGGAAGATTCGCTAGCGTGTGGCGATAGCGAAATGGTGGGCGGGAGGGAATCCCGGCAGATTCGAAGTGAAAAAACCTCGACATTTCATCGAGGGAGGGATTTTCGCGAGATCCTCTCATAGTTGCACCTACTCGTTAACAAATATAATACAAAATCTGTAAGAAAAGGGGGGTGTTATAAAAAATCATCCAAAAAGGGGGGTATAGTGAAATCGAGGTCACCCATACACCCACCCCTCACAAGCTACCCGGGGGTGCTCTATCATGGGGGGGTGTTTTGTCCGGGAGAATACGGTATCGTGTGGGGTACAATTGTTAGGGTTAGGTATACGTACCCTAACTCACAGTAATACACACATTATTCCGGTTCTGATACAAACTTGCGATCGTTACGGGAATCACGCTCCCAGAAAGTAAGAAAAGGGGGGGAGTGTGTGTGTGTGTGTGTATGTGTGTGTGTGTGTGTGTGTGTGTGTGTGTGTGTGTGTGTGAGAGGGAGAGGTTTATACACTGTTCTCGACAATACTCGCTACGAAAGGCCTAGTAAAACATTACGCTGGCGAATTAGGGAAAATTTAATCCAGAAATAAGTGTGACCCATGCACAGTTTATGCTGTGTAGAATGCAGCACACAAACGCTGGCACGCAAAAATGCTGCAGTGTAAACAAGGCAAGCTGCTAAACAACGCAAGCTACCAACCTACAAATGCGCCTAGTAAACCTCTGAATGGCAAGCTGCAGTCATAATACACCCAGGCTACAATACACTCTACCCGTCCCATCATGATCACCTCCCGTCACAAATGGCATTATACAGCGCTGCACAAAAATACTACACTAGCTGTCAAAACGTTGCACAGCACCGTATCTCGCCTCTTGTGACACGAGGTGATTAAGACATACGGTTGGATACTGGTGCTTTACGGCACACAGATTGTACTCAAGCCTACAGTATCCGAGCATGTCTTCCCATTGTACTCGTAGAACTTGGCAACCGTTCCAGCTTTCCCTCCTGCACTTCCACCACTGAAGAAGTTCAAAACACCCGGGCATGCCAGGTTTGGCGACACCAGCTTGAGCCTGCCCTTCTTGCAGCTGTGATCACTGAAAGAGTCGTAATCTGCCTTTAGGCAAACCTGAAATAGAAGGCGCAAAAACAGTACAGGGAGAAGTGAGAAATCTTAAGAAGGATGACACACTGCATAGAGATTTCTAGAGCTGACAACTGTGCAGGCAACCTATATGTATCCGATTCCCTCTGGATGCTCTGGTTTCCCAAATCTCACCTGCACGCTCGTCTTGCTGGCAACAGTGGCGGTGGAGGGAGGGGTGGTGCGGGGGCAGACGAGGCCGGGGTTGTTGCGGTAGAGCTCAACCCAGCTGTCTGCAGTCACCACCGCTGTCCCCGTGGACCCACCCTCACCAGACTGCATGCTCTGCAGCATCAGCCCCTCACACGTGTCCTGTGCTGTGAGCATGCCGTACTGAAGACACTGTGGGATGGTGTAGGCTAGAGTGGTGTTGCGCTCAATGCACAGAGAGTGGCCTGGCTTGATGGGGTCGGAGCAGTTCAGGCCGGGGTTGAGAGCGGTAAGCTCAGATACTGCTAGTTTGATCTGAGCGCTGATAGATGAGCAGTTGTCGCCCTGGAGGGTTGAGTGAAGGGGGAGAAGGAAAGGGATGGTTGGTTGAAGGTAATAGCAGACACGCAGCAGCTGAAATCAAGATGCATCATGCATAATTCCATGTACTGTGAATCATAACATATATATTTGCCTCAATCAGAAGGGAAAGGAGGAGGGGGAGGGGGAAAGAGGGATAAGGGTGGAAGTGGGACTGTCTGTTCTGTTCCCGTGCATGCATTTGAATAGAAAAGGACAAGCAATAATACACCACAATCCACTTCCCCCATCCCCTTGGTGGAGATTTTTGTGCCAACCGTCAAGCTCACATTGATGGTAAAGAAGAAGGCAGTGCAGGGGCCTGTAGGATCGCTGGGGAGCTGAATCACCTTGCCCTGAGGCAAAGGCTCGCTGCAGTCAATGGCCTGCCATGCCATCACAAGCACATGCATGATCAGATGAAAGGATGATGAGGTGAGATGGGTATGATACGAACGTCTGGTGCCGTTATTCGATTGCATGATGAGATGAGATGGCCTGCCATCAAAAGCACATGCATGATCAGACGGAAGGATGTTGAGATGGGTATGATATGAACGTCTGATGATGCTGTCATTCTTTTGCAAGAAAAGCTTCACTTCATAACAAGCCCATCCCTTACCGTCTCCACACAACATTCCACAAACCCGTAACTCATTCCCCCCCACAATGCCCACTGTTTCGCTCCCTCACCGTGCTTTGCTGTGGTAAGGAAGCCAACGAGACGCCAGCAGTGGGGAACACATCAGAGCACTGCCAGTTGGTGCCAGTGACTGTCAAGGTAGAGGCTGTGGTGTTGGCTGCAGGGAGGACAGCAGGAGAGCAAGTGCAGAGAGGAAACACAGATTAGGTTATTGATCTGGCATACGTCACATCACAGTAGCCAAGGTATGCCCCGAGAAGGGATAAATAATAACAGAGCAAACTGTACAAATGGCATGATGCAAAATAACTGCGAATGATGCAAAGTAGCAGCACCTGGGTCGCAGGTGGGGAACTTTTCGACGGTTGTGCTGCTGATGTAGTTGGGAGGGCAAATGCAGGAGTAGGAGCCCTTGCCGTCGTTGATGCATGTGCCCGCACCACAAGGGTTCGTAGGGTAGGCGCTGCAGATGTTAACTGTTGGGTGGACGGAGGGGAGGGCATGGGTGGTGGAACGTGGATGATAAAGGGAAACACAATTGATATGCCCATGATAGATGGGGTGAAGTGAACTACCACAACACTTCCCTCAACTCAATGCATATGTATCTTACAGGTCCATATATGGATGGGGTACATGCATCCGTACATGCATATTGTCGAGAGCAGCAAGAAAATGGCGTGCAAATATCAGCCTCTTCTTTAAGGACACGGGTCCTCAATGAGTCGTCAATACACTTTGGGCGTACTTGGGCGTAGAAAATGGCGCACTCACCATATGCACATGTGTTACCGCCCAGTCCATTTGCGACCTCAACGAACGGCTGATTGGCCTCGCCAGGAATGGTGCAGTTGCAGGTGTTGCTGCTGGTCTTTGCGTTTGGCTGGCATGGGAAGCGACCGCACGGGTTCATGCTTGGCTGTGCGTCCCCATCGCCCTTGTAGCTCAATTGGCCGCAAGAATCATTGGCAACTGGAGGGGTGGTGGAGAGAGGATAGCGGAAGGAGTGTAAGCAAAGCAGTGGGATGGGAGCATGGAACGAAGCTCTTTCTTGAAGTGATTTCACGAAGTTCAGTGCCTCACTCTTGACAATGAGTTAAGTAATCACTCTTGACAATAAAGTTAGATGACTCACTCTTGACAATGGGGTAGAGGCCAGGCAGCACGTTGATGCCACACACGCCATCCCCTCCCTGAATGTCCATGCGCATGTGTCCCTTGTCGCCCCAAGCGGTTCCCCATGAGTTGCGGATGATCCAGAATGGTGGAGCAGTCGAGCTTTGTTGGGCCCCAGTTGTTGTAATGAGGTACCCAACAACGAGTACAGCATGGTTCAGGTTGCCAGTGTAGCAGGCAGGATCCTGGTACTTGAAGGTCTGAGCAAAACAAAAGAAGATGGATGACAACCACAGGGAAGGTAGATATGGAGACATGAGGCATACCCATATCATGAGGCATGATACCAGCTCGATGTGGCATCTGCAGTGACAAGCACAACGGTACTGACAATAAGAACAGCGGTACTAGCTTGTGCGTCGGTTCTATAAGAACAGTTAGATAATGAGTATGTTCACACACCATACCGTCACATGAATGATCAATCACAAGTACATACCCCGTCATATTGTACGAACGAGGAAACGGAAGCCTCGATCTGAACCACCACTGGCTGGCGCCTCACTGCCAGCATGAGCCCCACATACCCCTTGAACCGCGTCCGCTCAAACGCTTGAACGGGGTACTTTAATATCTGGAGGTCACGAGCATATCACGAGCATATGGGAGATGATTACATGGAACCAACACAGCCAGTCAGGAGAGGGCTGGAGAAGAGGGCAAGGTGGGATGGGCTAGAGAAGAGGGCGAGGTGCAAGATATGATAATTTCTGCCTGTCATGAGAAACGGTGGTGGCTGCCCTGCCCTGCTAGACTGCACTGGTTGCAATGCTATCATAGAATACCAAGACGGATGCTATTCCTACCGTTGTGCTGCTGGCGAGTCCTCCACGGGGCAGAGTGGTGAGCTTCTTAAAGGCCGCAGCAGGGGAGTTCCCTGTGCTGCACCTGGCAGCAGGGGTCTTGAGCCCCATGATGATAAAGAGCGAGTCCACTGTCAGCCGTGGAACCTTTTGGTTCTGCGCGATGCCGTATGCTGCTTGCACACTCGCCACCACTGCATACGCCCAGCTTGCATCTGAAACGGACCACAAAGGTTGAAGAGGTCCAACCAAAAGGTGCACAAAATAATATTAAGGCGCTTATCATAATGCGCACGGAATATGAAGGCGCTCAGCATAATGCACACGTAATATGAAGGCGCTTATCGTAAGGTGCATAAAGCGGTTAGAATTAAGCAACATCGCCCCCGAATAAAGAACACATAAGCTGGTCCATCCATCCACCAGCGGAGTCCCCTTGATCCAGACACAAAAGCACACAGCACGAGCATTCAAGACCACAAAGCACGAGCACCACAGCCAATGAGAACACCACAAAACCTATGCCCACTTCTGCTCGCCCACGCCCACTCACTGCAGTCCTTCTGGTTCTTGACAGGCCATGCAAGGAAGGGCATGGAGTCCCAGGAGCGGGAGCCGCTGATGCGCCACCCATCGGACTGCTGGCTGGGCGACACAGACGCTTGGTAGTCCGCACTCATGTAGCGCATGAAGGGACTGACACCCGGTGGCGCAAACGACGTTGCTGAGAGAGTCAGGCCCAAGGCTGCGCAGGCGAGCGTGGGTGCGGGCAGAGAGGGCGGGGTTGAATGAGGGATGTGGGTGTGTGCAAAGGTCTGGGTGTGGCGCTCTTTGCACCGGAAAGCATTTTGAAAGGGACATAGAGAGCAGGAGTACAGTGTAATCTTGCTTTGAAAGTACGGAGAGTGATATAAAGGCAGCAAAGAGAAATAGAACTAACTATATTGGATGCAGAGGAAAATTGGGCTGTTTACCTGGAGTAAGGCCTGGCTTCTGTGGATCAGGGAGAGCTGTACAAAGGGGCACACATTCGGGACACATTTATAGAGACAGGGCAGTCAGACGGTGTTTAGATTAGATTAGATTCTACTGAAAGCATAGTTTACTCAAGTGCTCCCTCCCTTTGATGGAATCATAAGTGATGCTGTTAACTAACTAGATGTAACTGAAAAGGCTGAGACTCTTGTGAAAGTAGCAGCAGCAACGCAAGAGGCTGAGTTTTCTGTGAAAGTAGCAGCAGCAACGCAAGAGGCTGAGACCACAATCATCGTTGCAAGCAACATCATCACCGCCACCACCACCACCATCACCATCACCACCATCACCATCACCATCACCACCACCACCACCACCACCATCACCATCACCATCACCATCACCATCACCATCACCATCACCATCACCATCACCATCACCATCACCATCACCACCACCACCACCACCACCACCATCACCATCACCATCACCATCACCACCACCACTACCACTGCTGCTGCCGCCGCCACCGCCATTGTTATCACAACACAACAGCAAAAGCAGCACCATCTTGCTCTCACCTGTTTGCACCGCAGACTTCAGAATCACATGCATCTGGAACGGCTTCTCAGTGGTGGACGCCACAAAGCCAAAGAAGAACGCCCGCTGCTCCGCTCCAGCCTGCAGCACCTCACACAGCGCCAGCCTCCTCTTAATTAGTGGCTGATCTGGCTTCACAACGGATGCAGCCAGGAACACCTGGATGGTGCCGGGCTCCCCAGGTACATAGTCCACCCATGCCGTGTATGGCTTCTTGTTGTTCAGAGGAAACGGCGACTTCACAGCAGCTACGGAAGTCTCCTGGCCTTTAAGGTCCAGCCCCACATGCTGAGTGACCATATCCCCAAGCTGCAGGTCCTGGAAAGTATCGAATTCAACCGCTATGCTCCGCTCGTCCATTCCATCATACCCCACACCAGCCCCAGTCCCCACTTGGTCCGTTGCCGAGACGACAAAGGCAAGCCCATTGTTCCCCCCACGGAAGGTTCCAGTCGACATGGAGAAGGTGAAATTGGCCTTGAAGGCCAGCTGCGTTCCACACCCTGTCGCTGTCGACCCTGCCTCATACAGAAACAGAGGCACAGGAGCTGCAGTGAAGGCGCCCTTATTCTCCTTTTGTGTCCCCTTGGTAATCGCGGTTGCTTGAGGGAGAATGGGTTGGTTGACTGTAGAGCTTCCAATATCCCCTGGAGTCATGAAGGAGGGGAGAAAAAGGAACGTGATAATTTGTGGTAGTCAGAAACAGTGTCGACGGGAGGTTGCTTGGAGGATGTAACCCATAGGGCAGCGCAAACAATGGCAAGTATGGGATGGAAGGTCGGTGTTTAGTGCTGCTATGGGCAATGCTTTCCAAGAACAACGCCAAGAAAAACTTCCTTGCCCTGCTCATCTATCTCTGCTAGGATTTCATGTTCTCTTCTTGCAGGAAGGGGGCCTTCCTCTTACCTTTGGCAACACAGGTATCGCTCGCAAGCTTTACGAACCCCTCGTCGCAAGAACAGCTCGGGATCATGCTGGCCCGGTTGGGGACGCAGATCCCGTTACCACCGCAAGCAGCAGTAGTAGACGCAGCAGCGCCACCTGCACGACCAGCAGCGGCCCTTGCACGAGCGGAGGACGAAGGTGCAGCAGAGGAGGTACCGCAGAACGAGTTGCATTCAGCTTCCTGCCGCTGCACCACCTTAGCACAGCCAGGAGGCAGAGTGAAGCAATTGGCATCGAAGTTGCGAGCCTGGCATGCCCCCTCAGGCAGAGGGCCGGAGAAGAAGTTGTTGGAGACACGCAGAGTGCTGATGGCTGGCAACTCCATTGGGCCCGCGAGGTTGTTGTTGGAGAGGTCTCTGAGAGAAGAATGAGAAAGGGGGGGTGTGTGTGGTGGGGGTGGGGGGGGGGGAAGGGGCGGGAAAAAGAGAACATGTTAAAAAAGTGGGGTTTGTGGGGCGAAGAAGGGGGATTGGAGCCTTGATGATCTAACTAACGATTCGTATCTGATTTGTATGAGCTGCGAGTTGGGTGAAGATTACTAAGGAGGCGCCTCAGATGGGGAATGCGGCTTACAGGAATGTGAGCTGTGTGAGCTTGGTGAAGCTCCCAGGAATGCGGCCGTACAGCTGGTTGGAGGCCAGCGACCTGATGCCAGTAATGGTGTGTGGTGGTGGAAGCAAGCAGATAGGCATGTTGAGAAAAGATGACTTTTGATTCAACTCAGAAGCTGCCAGGAATGCGGCCGTACAGTTGGTTGGAGGCCAGAGAACTGATGCAAGTAGTGGTGTGTGGTGATGGAAGTAAGCAGACAGGCATGCTGAAAATACTTGCAGGACGCTAGAGGGGTGAGTGAGGCGAGAAGAGAATCTAGGCACTTTACGGCACTTTTCTTTCCTTTCATGATAGCCAGCTATTGAGTGCTTCCTTCACGAGGACATGATGAAAAGTTGTATTCCCAACAAAAGGAATACAGCAGCAGTAGCATAGCGTGTGGAATTTGTGAGTGGGAGGGAGGCGAGGTGATGTGTGAGAGGATCAATCCTTGCATGGCCTGGGACAGCTTACAGATAAACCAGCTGAGAAAGGCTCCCGATGGTCTCATTAATTGTTCCTTCCAGGAGGTTACGCTGGAGATCACTGCAGATTTTGTGAAGGGATCGAGTGGGACAAAAGAAGATAAATAAACTACCCGACAAAACATACCTTTCCCTCTCTTTCTGGAAGAGAGAAGTGGGTAATAGGCAAATCAAGGGGGCTTAATGTGAGGAGTACAATTTTCATCACAGCAGATGAAATGAAGTGATGAGAGACATGCGGCATGTAGGTTGGTTAATGAACGTTACATGACAGATAAGCTGGTGAGATTGGTGATGGACTCAGGGATTCGCCCAGAGAGCTGGTTGCGAGACAAGGAGCTGAATCAAAGGCAGAAAACAATGGAGGAGATAGGAAAAAAAAAGTCTTGGTGATGTCACATGCGTGAAGCATGGGGAGGGAGGGTTGCGGAGGAGAGTGGGTTGAGGTGAAGAGAGAAAGAGAGGAGACAAGCGAAGCACATTGAAACAGTAATATTAAGGTGACACACAGGCCTGACAGGTCCAAGAGGGAGCTTATGTTGGATCAAATCAGGTTGATTGAGCACACAATATTGCCATTGAAGCGATTGTTGTGAGCGATAATTGAAAAATCTCAAAAACCGACACAGCACAGGCGACATACAGGACTGCCAGGTCCGTGAGGAAGCTTATGTTTGACGGAATCGGTCCAGTAAGGCGGTTGTTGTCAAGAGCCCTGCGGAGAGGTGGGGATAGTAGGATGCAATATGCAGGGAGATACGGTTAAGTATGTGGACTAGGAGACTCTACACAAGCAGGGCTTCAAGTATTTCGTGCAGAGCTCGTATGCTGGAGCTGAATAATAAGCTAAGAGGCTGGTACAACTTGGAAAACAGAAAGCATCAGCATCAGAACGTATTTATTGTGAATACTCTGGACTGGAGGGTGATTATAAGCTGTGTTTTGAAGAGATGAAGCATACAGAAAACACAAGAGCACGCATATACCGTACACGGAAGGCAGGCAGGCAGGCAGGCAGCTTACAAGCTTGTGAGTGCTGTAAGTCCCGTTAGGAAGGAGGGCACTGTCCCTGACAGCTTGTTGGAGTGCAGATAGCTGCAGAACGCAAGGGTAGGTGGGGCGGGGGTTCAGAAGGATGGTATGACATGAGTTCAATCAACACAACGATCCATTACTTGTTGCAAGATCGTCAGTCTGGTTTGCAGCTATAGCAGCTGAGGAATAGGAAAGCGGCATATAGGGTCATGCAACAAGCTGCAAGTGGCTTGTCAACCACACTGACAAATATCAATCGTCTATAAGTTAAAAAAAAAGTCTTAGGAGCCGAAGTAAGGTTGTTGTGACACTGATGGTGCAGTGCATTGAAACCATCCAAGGGACTCAGCAAAACCACGACATGAATGGTAAAAGAAGTTTTCGTGAAGAAGCCCCACTCAAATAGCAGCCTCAGGGGTGGTAGGACAGGACTAGTGCCCGGGCTTCATACCTGCTTGAAGGCTAAATCAGGCAAAGATGTATCTTATGCTTGTGTTACATTTGCAGCCAAGTCATGTCCCATGTAAATACACCCTTAGCACTGCATATGAATGAAACTTACAGGGATTTTAATAGGTTGAGTCCTTCCAAGGTTGAAGGGATGTTGCCCGAAAGCTTGTTGCCCGAAAGATCACTGGGAGAAAGGCGTGAAAGGCAGAGGAAGAACGGAAGGGAAGGAGGTGAGGCGAGCACACGAGAGTGATCCGACAGCACTAACTGTATCGAAAGTCGATGAACTAGGAAAGGGAAGGCATGGAAATAGTGGACGAGGAAGTAAGGCACTTACAGTCTGGTGAGGGCCAACAGGTCACCTATCTCGTTAGGGATGGGACCAGAAAATTGGTTGCCGCTCAGGTCGCTGGGGGAACAGAACAGAGATGGGGTGGGTGGTGGACAGGGAAGGCTGTCGCGTTAGTGAATGAGGGGGCTTTAGAAATGGCAAATGAAGCAGCTGTGACTTATCGTGTGGGTGTGATTGAAGTTATGGTGGAAAGGCAAAAAAACAGCAGCAGTAGGAGAAGTAGCAGCAGCAGGAGCAGCAGCAGTGGCAACGCCAGCATCAGCAGCAGCCACCGCAAAGGCAGTTTGGCAGTGGCAGTGCGGCACCCACAGTGTATCCACATCGCTCAGCAAGGCAATAGAGGGAGGGATGGATCCCGAGAATGTGTTGGCTTGAAGGCCCCTGCAGCAGCATGGGAGGGAAGCAAAGAAACAGAACAGAGAGAAGTGTGTCAGATATAAGGGGAGAAGCTTGGGGCACCAGATGTAAAGCAACAGAGCAGAGAGAAGTGTCAGAGATAAGTGTGAGATAAGTGTCAGGTGCACCGAAGTAGACGGGGGGTGTCAAAACATCGGCTTATTGAAAAAACAGTTGTTTTACATATTTGTAAGGCCGGTGAGGGAGGTGAGGGCCTCAGGGATTGGTCCCGAAAGATTGTTGCGTGCGAGAGACCTGGTGGTTTTGGATTTTATTAGAGCGGGCAGAGCAAAGAATAGACGATAACGAGAGGTAACTTTGGGTGCGAACAGATCATGTGATAGTTGAGGGTAGAAGCGAGAAGAGGAAAAAATGCGACTGTGGGCTAGCCGATCTGCTGTCTGGAGTGGAAAGAATGGTGGAGAAAAAGGGAGAAAGAGTGTTGAGAGGTGTCTTACAGAGCGACCAATGCTGTGAGAGAGTTAATGCCAGCAGCAGGTACGGGGGGACTGAACTTCTTAGTGGTAGACATCCTCCTGAAGTAGAATGGCGAAGGCAAAAGGGGCAAGTTTAAAAAGTAAGGAGTTGCAGTGCAGACCAAAGCCACAGAAGAAGAGGTGGTTAGAGCCAGGAAGGAGAAGAGACGAGACGAGACGAGGCATTTGGGGAGCTCAAAAAGATGGAACAATGGGAGACGTTTTCTTGAGCTGAGTCTAGGCATGAGCACGGTGTTGTCCAGGAAAATGACCTTCGTAGGGTGCTGTGCTCTGTGTTACGTTTAAGCTTTACTTGTTATATCAGGTGGCTCATTTTGAACATGCAATGAAACTGAGAGAGATCCCTTTGTGCGCAAAAACACATATGAATCATGATGTTGTGTATTTCTACCACCACATGTATGTGTGTATCTCACTCACATGACAGGAGCTCTGCTCGGTGCACTCGAGGTGACAGGAATGCTGCCTGTAAACTGGTTGCTTGTAAGGTCTCTGTAAGTGATCATGAGAGGGAGCACCAGAATTAAGGCCTAAGAAACAGGCGAGAAAGAGAGAACCACCACAGGAAGAAAAGGGCAGCAGGATATGATGGCGAACCAGCACAATATGATATGAAGGAACATGGAGAGAGCAGAAGAAGAAATGCACCCACCCAGGGGACAGAGCACAGCACAACAAGCCACTGCTGAACTAACGGGAGTGAAAGTGTGGATCAACCACGCAGAAGATCAGAACAGAGTGGGTTGGTTGTGCCAGAAGAATGCATAAAGGGGTGAACCATCATCAGGCCCGCAAGACGCATGCGTGAGGGACGGAGAATGAAGAGGAGAAAAATTGGGTGTGGATGGAAAAGGAAGAGTGGGGAAGGCAAGGGAAAGGTTGAAATAAGTTGTGGTGGAGGGGAGTGACTGACAGTTTGGTGAGGGCGACTGGCCATAGAACCAATTTCCTTGGGGATGGGACCAGACAGTTTGTTGTAGCTCAGATCACTGAGAGAACAGCGGCATTAGGGTGGACGGGAGCTTAGATAGCAGTGAATGTGGGAGGGAGGTAATACTGATGTTTATAAAGCCTGCAAAATGGATGAGTACAAGTTATCTGATCACGCCTGATCACGATTAACACGGATTCAGGTATGGTAAGGTGGTGCCTGGAGTTTTAGCAGCAGCCGAGAGGCACAGCAGCAACAGTGGCAGACTGGCAGTGGCAGCACGGCACCCACAGTGTATCGATAATGGACAGCAAGGCAATGGAGGGAGGGATGGATCCCGAGAGGTTGTTGTGATGTAGGCCCCTGCAGTAGCATGGTACAGATGCAACAAGGAGAAGTTGCAAGAAAGAGTGAAAATCAGTGCCTAGAGGTACTAGACATGAGCAAGTGCCTGAGGCAAGGCAAGGACTTCCTGAACAGGTTGCATAGATACTCGACCAAAAGCTAGCCTTATTTTGTTCCCCAAGACGAGTCTCATTCTACTCAAAGAAATAAAGGTTTGCCTTGCATCTTACCTCCCTTCCCCCCCCCCCCCCCCTTCGCCCCCTACCCTTCCCCATCTGCCACCCCGACCACGCCGGCATCCCATGCATTGCAAGCATTTTTCAATCACCTGTGGGGCTCAAGTAGATGTCAAACACTCAAATGCTAGACTGGAGTCGAAAAAGTTCCTCAAAACATTTCCACCCCCTGTCCCATCGTCCCCTCCAGCTCCCTTTCCTCCCCCGCCCGGGCCCCCCTCTTCCCCCACTTCCCCTGCCCTCCTCTCGATACTCTACTTGATTATGTTAAAAGGTTGAGACGAAACATTAGTAGCTAGAATAAAGTGCTCATATCGACAGTCATAGGGGACAGGTATAATTACTGAGGTTTTTGATCCACTGGTACAAGGAGCACAGGGGAAGTGTGGCGTACAGTTCTGTAAGGCCAGTGAGAGAGCCGATGGAGGCAGGGATGGGTCCAGTCAGCTGGTTGTATTCGAGAGATCTGGTGTTGGGGGTTCATGGGCATTAGGAAGCACAGACGATTGTTTCTTTGGGTGCCACCGAATGGTGAGACAGGTGAGAGGAGAAGCGAGGAGAGGAGAGGCGAGAGAGAGAAAAATAACTGGACCAGCTGAGTTGCCACGTACAGAAACGGAATGGTATTGGGGGAAAAGAAAAGAATTTGAGGACAGAAAGAGAGAGAGAGAGAGCCTTGGGCGAGAGAAGAGATGTCTTACAGAGCGACCATTCCCTTGAGTGAGCCAATGTCAGAAGGTATAGGGCCAGTGAGCTGATTGTCGGCTAACATCCTGAAAGAAAATGGCAAAGGCAAAAGAAATGCCAAAGGCTGAAGGTGTGTGATCCAGATAGGGAGCGGCAGAAGAAGAGGTGGTGCGGCTAAATAGAGGTAGAAGATGAAACGAGCCACACAACTTCAATTGGTACAGCGAAGATGAGAATACAAGCGAAGTGCAGGGTGTTTTTAAATCAACGTGGCGCTACTATACTACTTGTGCTCGTGTATCTCTCTCACATGTAAGACACTTGGCTGAGAGCACTAAATTTGGCAGGAATGCTGCTCGAAAGTTGGTTGTTTGAGAGGTCCCTGGAAGGGATTGGGGATACAGGAATGATAGGATAAGAGCAGGTGAGGAAGATGCAAGTTTTAATAAAGATCCCAAGAAGACCATGGACTGGTTAACTGAGGTTTTCATCCTTCACCCATTCCCGGACTATTGATGCGCATGCTTCACCCATCCATGGAGCACGGTATTAACAATAAAAATCGAGGGGAGTCAGTGTGAGCAGCCCCCCACAGAAAAGCAGCACAATAGAGGAGCAAAAGTGAGAGAACTGGTGTGCTGGCATGACTCTAACGTCTACATGGTTCCACAAGCCTAGCATGTGAAGGGCGTAGTGTGCAGCTCACATGAATTGCATTTGAATAAGTCCAGCAAACGTTGCAGGGATGTTGCCCAAAAGCTGGTTGTCCGAAAGATCACTGGGAGAATTGCGCGCAGGGCAGAGGAAGAACAAAAAGAAGGGAGAGAGGCAAGCATGAGTGAGAGACTCGGAGGATACATAGGACAAGAATTGGGTGTTTCTTGGCTTGGAGGATACTCGGAGAATATTCTGAGGAAACACAGCGATGGCAAGGAAAAGCATGACATGCTTGCCAAGTTGGCAAAGGCTACTAAGTGCGATGAAAGGGAGTGACTGACAGTTTGGTGAGGGCGACCATGGAACCAATCTCCTTGGGGATGGGACCAGACAGTTGGTTGGAGCTCAAATCACTGGGGGATCAGCAGAGACAGTGGTTGGATTATGGACAGCGGAGGAAAAGAACAGGTGGAAGATTTACAATAAGATTTGGAGCTGTTGAGAATAACAGCAGCAGGAATAACCGTCGGGCTGTTGATTTGGAATAACCGTCAGGAATAAGATTTGGAGCTATTGAGAATAACCGTCGGGCTGGAAGAGAGGGTGGAGTAGCAGTAATGGTAGAGAGGCACAGCAACAGCAGTGACGGTCTGGCAGTGGCAGTGCGGCACCCACAGTGCATTGATATTTTTCAGCAAGGCAATGGAGGGAGGGATGGAACCCGAGAGTTTGTTGGAACGAAGCCCCCTGCACCAGCATGGGAGGGCAGCAAAACAACGCCAAGGGGAGTAGTGAGATTAAATGGGATGGGATGGGAGGGAATCAATGTTAAGAGGACCTAAATACAAACTCTGATCCGTGGGTATCAAGAAAGAAGCAAAGTGGGGCGTACAGATTGGTAAGGCTGGTGAGGGAGCCGATGGTGTCAGGGATGGGTCCAGAGAGCTTGTTGTAAGAGAGGGACCTGGTGGTTGGGGGTTCATCCAATCGGGCATTGGGAAGCACAGGCGATGGTGTAAAAGGATGGTGAGTAAGCACGGGGAGAAGCGAGAAGATCGAAAAATCATGGAAACTCAAAACAACTGTTACATGCATGAGATTAACAGTTGGTACACATGTACAAGCTAAATGCTTGGTGTGTATCAATGGAGGGCCCAGTTTCAAAACATCGTTGCAATTTCAACTGCGTGAATGTAGCTCACAAGTAAGACATCATGTTGAGTGCACCCAAAGTGGAAGGGACGCCTTCAAGCTGGTTGTTTGAGAGGTCCCTGCAGGAGTGGAATAAAACAGATTGAGGCAAGCATCAGATTGCTGCAGGTGCGAAGGAGAAACAGGTGACAACTCAATGTACAAATAAGGGCCAGGCGCGTCGGAAAACAACTCAATGAATAAACAAGTAGCGAAGGACAATCGGGACGTCGTATTATGATTGTTTGTTATATGCATGTGTACTGGGTGGGCGCTGAAGTTAACGCTTATAGTTATTTAAAGCTCGCTTCATTAGTTGTGATGGACCAACTACACAATTTTGCTATCCATGGACCCGGCATCAATTGGGGTTCATTCTTTGGTTCACATCCAACATCCCGAATTTGAACATGCCCTGGCCTTGGGTTACAGAATCACTTGCACTTTGAAACTTGTCTCCATCTGCAGCTCACAGTGAGAGGGTGTTGTGAGAGGGTGAAAGTTTGTTGTGTGTAGCTCACATGAATTTCATTTGACTGAGTGCTCCAAAGGCTGCAGGGATGTTGCCCGAAAGCTGGTTCTCCGAAAGATCACTGAGAGAGACGAGCAGGACGGATTAAGAACGGAAGGGAAGGAAGTGAGCGTCAGAAGATGCATGAGACAAGCATCAAGTTTGCATAGTCGAGGAAAATCAGGCAGGGATGGCAACGGAAAGGATGCGACCAGGTGTGGTGGAGGGGGGTGACTTACAGTTTGGTGAGGGCGATCATGGAACCAATCTCCTTGGGGATGGGACCAGACAGTTGGTTGGAGCTCAGGTCGCTGGGGGAACAGCAGAGACAGTGGATTGGATTATGGACAGCTGAGAGTAAGAAATTACAAGCGAAATTCCAACTGAAGCTCTTGGAAATGAGCAGAGCATTGGGCTAGCTGGATGTGGAGAGTGAGGTAGCAGCAGAGCAGTAGTAGAGAGGCACAGCGGCAGCAGTGACGGACTGGCAAGGGCAGTGCGGCACCCACAGTGCATTGATGTTTTGCAGCAAGGCAATGGAGGGAGGGATGGCACCAGAGAGTTTGTTGGAACGAAGCCCCCTGCACCAGCATGGGAGGGTGGAAAAACAATGCCAATGAATGTAGTGTGAGTAAATGGGATGGGAGGGAATCACTGTTAAGTGTGCATCAGGGAAACACAAAGTGTGGCGCACAGATTTGAAAGGCTGGTGAGGGAGCCGATGGTGTCAGGGATGGGTCCAGAGAGCTTGTTGTAAGAGAGGGACCTGGTGGTTGGGGGTTCAATTGATCGGCCATTGGAAAGCACGGTCGATGGTGAGCTGGGGACAAAAGGATGGTGAAATAGGGTAGGGCAGAAGCGAGAAGACCGAAGAAGCAATGGGGACTGAAATCCACTGCTACATGTATGAAACTCACAGTTGGTACACGAATACGAGCTAGATGCTTGGTGTGTAACAATGGTGCGCCCGGTTTGATAATGCCGCAACAGCTCAAGTATCATGCATGTAACTCACATGTGTGACATCACGCTGAGTGCACCCAAAGTGGAAGGGACGTCTTCAAGCTGGTTGTTTGAGAGGTCCCTGCAAAAGATCATGTGTGTGGAATGGAAGCATCAGATTGTAGGCATAACAACAGGTGAGAAGGAGAAAGACTCAGGTGAGAGGGAGAAATAAGGGCAAAGCGAGACGGAAGACTAGTAATGAACAAACAAGAAGCGAAGAACAAATGGGATGTTGTGAAAAAAGAAAGCTTGCTTGTTTGAATCTTTGTATGTGCACTGCGTGGGTGTTGTAGTCGGTAAAAGCATGAGTTATCATTTGCGATGGACCTACTACAAAATTTTGATATCGTTAGACCCAGGCGCTAACAACCTTCCATTTGGGTTTCTGACTACCTTCCATGGCTCCTAACTTTGGCACAGGTTCGCAGAATCAGTTCTTGGCCGTGAACAGGTTTGTGTGCAGCTCACAGAAATTCCACTTGGATGAGTGCTCCAAAGGTTGCAGGGATGTTGCCTGATAGCCGGTTGTCCGAAAGATCACTGGGAGAAAGGCGTGCAGGGCAGAGGAAGAACGGAAGGAGAGGAGGTGAGGCGAGCAGGAGTGAATGAAAGTCCGAGGATGCATGGGACAAGAATCGGGCATGCATAAGCGAGGCAAGGCAGGTGGGGATGGCAAGGGAAAGGATGCGACCAGGTGTGGTGGAGGGGGGTGACTTACAGTTTGGTGAGGGCGACCATGGAACCAATCTCCTTGGGGATGGGACCAGACAGTTGGTTGGAGCTCAGGTCGCTGGGGGAACATCAGAGACAGTGGATTGGATTATGGACAGCAGAGAGTAAATAGACAACAGTGAAATACAAAACAATTGAAAAATAAAAGTCGAAGCTGTTGATATTGAACAGAGCATTGAGCTGGCTGATTGTGGAGGGTGGAGTAGCAACAGTGGCAGAGAGGCACAGCAGCAGCAGTGACAGATTTGCAGTGGCAGCGCGGCACCCACAGTGCGTTGATATTTTGCAGCAAGGTAATGGTGGGAGGGATGGCGCCCGAGAGTTTGTTGGAACAAAGACCCCTGTAGCAGCATGGGAGGGCGGCAAGAGAATGGCAAGGTTAGTGGCGCGAGTAGATGGGATGAGAGGGAATCAGTGTTAAATGGTCCTCCCCATTGATGTTTCTGATCCGTGGGCTTCAGGAAAAGGCAAAGTGTGGCGCACAGATTTGTAAGGCTGGTGAGGGAGCCGATGGTGTCAGGGATGGGTCCAGAGAGCTTGTTGTAAGAGAGGGACCTGGTGGTTGGGGGTTCAATTGATCGGCCATTGGAAAGCACGGTTGATGGTGATTTGGAGGCAAAAGGAGGGTGAAAAAGCGGAGAAGAGAAGCAAGAAGAACAGTAAAAAGAGAAGATCCAATCGTATTTTAAAAGTACGGGACTCACACTTGGCACGAGAATAGAAGCTAACACATTTGGTATGCGTACCGCATACCAATGTTGCGTCCGGTTAAAGAATGCCGCTACATTTCCATATGCATGTATGTATCTCACATGTATGACAGCATGCTGAGTGCACCCAAAGTGGAAGGAATGTCTTCAAGCAGGTTGTTTGAAAGGTCCCTGAAAATGATTTTAGATGGAATGGAAACATCAGATTGAAGGGATAACAGCAGGTGAGGAGAAACAGGTTAAAGGGGGAAATAAGGGCAAAAAGTGTTGGAAAAGGCTAGAGCTCGCTCTAGCATTTATCATGGTGTTACCTTGTTGTTTTGTGATAGAGTCTCTAGCTTCATCTCTTAGCGTTAAGCCTGAACCGAACACACCCTAAGTTCAGTAAGGGTTTTCCAACTTTTTTCCTCAATTGTATCTCGACATTTGCTCCCAATACAACTTCTTACCTTTTCAATATCCATGGCTGCCAAGGTCTCAACTTTAACAAATGGAGAGGAAGTGTGGGAAGCACGAGTGAGTGAGACTCCGAGGGTGCATGGGACAAGAATCAGGTGTGCATAAACAAGGAAAGACAGGCAGGGATTGCGAGACAAACGATACGACGAGGTGTGGGAGTGACTGACAGTTTGGTGAGGGCGACCATGGAACCAATCTCCTTGGGGATGGGACCAGACAGTTGGTTGGAGCTCAGGTCGCTGGGGGAACAGAAGAGACAGTGGATTGAATTATGGACAGCGGGGAGGGACAAAACAGTGAAATTCGAAATTGAGAGCTTAACCTGCAGAGCATTGGCTGGCTGGGTGTGGAGGGTGGATTAGCAGCAGTGGTGGAGAGGCACAGCAGCTCGCAGAGCGGTGCGTCGCCCGCGCTCTCAAGCTCACATCACCGAGAGAGCTCACACTGCTGCACATGATTTGGGGCGTCGACGAGAAGCGTGTGGCTTGGTTCACGCGCAGGATGCAGGTTTGGCGCAACACCAAGTGGGAGCAGGGGAGGGCATACGCGTACACTCTGCACGGTCTCCCGTACGACGCTGGGGCGAATCCGCGCATCAACTTGCCCATAATCCCCGACGGGCAGGAGGTGGAGCGTATCACACGTCGCGACTTCACCACACGATACAAGGCTGGTGAGCAATGTGGCTGCGATTTCAGATTGGTGCATTGGACATTGATTCTGTCTGCTCACGCTCGCACAAATCCCGGGCTATCCTATCCGTACAGGGCCTGCCACCTTTGAGCTGATGCCATGGCATCGCAATGCCACGGGGCTGCCCTTTTCGACCGAGATTTTCGAGCGCGCTCTCTACGCGTCCTTCAAGAGGCCCATCCCGCCTCCCCTGCTGCTGCGGACGTATGTGGTGGCCTTCTGGCTGTTCGGGGTAAGGACCGTGGCATCGATGTACATTAAGTAGCTTCCTCTCTGTTTTAAGTGGTTGTAGTGTTCTAAACCATGATCTGCACGGTTTGTGTTTCTCGTGAGCAGGTAGAGGTGCCTATCGCCACCGGCACTTCCCTCGTTCGCAGCGCCCCCCGTAATGAGGAGGGCGTGCGCTGGTACCACGAACGCGTGAAGCGCTGGCTTCACAGCGCGATTCTCCGCCGTACCGCACAGGAGGGCCCCTTTTGGGATAGCGATAAGCGTGGCTGGGCCTTCAGGCGTGACGGTCTCATCCTCATCTCTGAAGAAGGCATGGAGCATCTCTCTCCGAACCCCCCTCCAGCCAATGTTCCCGTAATCCCTGCAGTGACCCCACGTGCCAATTAGGCGGCTCCCCGTCTCTGGCCTGGTGGGGCAGCGAAGTGCGTTTGACTTACTCACGTTCCCAAGGCCATCTCACCAGCCCCGCATGCGCAGGCGCAGGCGTTGTTTGTGTTTGCTAATTCCACAAGTGGCGGGAAAACTCTCCCCAGCCCACAGTGTGTTTCGTGGCTGCATGTTTGGTTGAACGCTCTATGACAGCGCTATACCCTGCTGCTGTATTTGTGTTTTCTTTTCTAGTGTGGCTTTTGCTATACAATGTACGAGGGCGATCTTTCTCAAACAGTACACCATACGGAGGGCGTGTTCACTAGCGCCGGGCAGCGACTGCAGGGAACGCGTCGGTAATTGTAACCCTACGTGCGACACGTGGCAGCGCACGCGGCTCGTGCGAAGGGTTACGTGTTACGCACACCTCGTCCCTAAACTTCATTACGTGTTAATATCAAACCTTACATGCGTACCCCATAGTGAAGCGCAGTCATTTCCGAGTGTAAGTACAGTGTTATCTCATCGCTCTGTAGCGGCACATTCGGCCGTAGTCACATGTGACTGTGTTCATAGTCACAATTTTAATTTTGACGTAAGAAGGCTATACGGTATTCTATATGGGCGGGGTGTACATGGCAGGTTCAGCTGTATTCATAGCGGGGTAGTTGTTACGGGTTTCCAGGTGGTACAGTCATCAGGGACTGTTCACACAGTCTCCTTCGAAACCCTCTGGATTGTTCGGCAACTTGTGCACAACATACCCCAAGCATACCAACCCCTTTCCGGTGCAATCCGTATAATAGTGTCTGGGGTGTGTCCCCACGATGTACATCTTCGTTAGGGCGCGTGTCTTTTGGTTTTTACATGCAAATCTCGAATTTTTTGTTGAACTGTAGTCATATGAACCTAGCTCGAGCTAGGCTCGAGTTTTCACCAACTGCAAACCGAGCCGCGGTTCCACCCCTCCCGAAAATCACGCGACAAACAAAAGTTCAACTATCGAAGTTGAACTTTTGCAGCCCAGCCGAGCCGCGACCTACGCTTGTAGGTTACCCGGTTTGGGCTCTTGACATCGCGCCACCGGGACTCGCGCTGACGAGCACCCTCGTGCGCACGATGCTAGCTGCGAGCGTCGCAGACTTCGCATCGTCGCTGTCAGTGATGAGGTGGACACACGCTCGCACATTCGTGCCAACCTGTTTGTTGATGGGGTTTCAACTTGGGGGCTCAACATTTTCCGATGCCGGAAGTGTACGTGGACACACGACGTCCTGGCGAATGTTTTGGCGGAATTAACGAATAGGGTAACCAGCAAAAGTTCAACCAAAAATCCGAACGTCTACACCAAAAGACACGCGCCCTTAGTCAGGGGATTCTTCACACAATGTTTCGGCGTTTTTTTTTTTTTTGAACCCTATAGGGTTGCTGTGCGCTAATGTGTGTTGAGAGAGTCACGTGCGTGTCACACAAACGACCCTTTTGCAGTCGCTGGTGTAGTGACGGACTGGCAGTGGCAGTGTGACACCCACAGTGCATTGATGTTTTGCAGCAAGGCAATGGAGGGAGGGATGGCGCCCGAGAGTTTGTTGGAACGAAGGCCCCTGCAGCAGCATGGGAGGGCAGTAAAACAACGCCAGTGTTAATGTGTTAATCTCTGAGTCATGGGCATCAGGAAAAAGAAAAGTGTGACGTACAGATTCGAAAGGCTGGTGAGGGAGCCGATGGTGTCAGGGATGGGTCCAGAGAGCTTGTTGTAAGAGAGGGACCTGGTGGTTGGGGAAATCATCCGATCGGGCATTGGGAAGCACTGGTGATGGTGAGTCGGGGGCAAAATGATGGTGAAAAAGGCGAGCTGAGGAGCAAGAACGATAAAAATGGAGACTCCAATTGAATGTTACATGTATGGGATGCACAGTTGGTACACGAATACAAGCTAAATGCTAGGTGTGTGTTCATGGTGCATTCGCTTCAATAATGCCACTACAATTCCAGCTGCACGCAAGCATCTCACATGTGTGACATCATGCTGAGTGCCCCCAAAGTGGAAGGGACGTCTTCAAGCTGGTTGTTTGAGAGGTCCCTGCAAAAGTTAATGGGTGGAATGGAGGCACCAGATTGAAGGCATAACGGCAGGTCACAAGGACTAAGAGATGTAAAGGAAAAATCAGTGCAAGGGAAAAAAATAGTGAAGAAAATGCAAGAGAAGACTAGTAATAACGAATGAACACACAAAGAGCAAACAACAAATGGAATGTGCGAAATTTGGAAATCTTGGTGTGTTTGATTTGATGTCTGTGTACTGGGTGGCTGTTGTGGTTGGATAACACTCGCTCTATCATCTGTGAGGGCCCAATTACGCATTTGGTCATCTTTAGACCCAAATATCGTTTGGGTTGACTCTTTCTTGTTCATATCCTCTACTTCACATGCCCCATCTTTGGCTTTCAGAATCTCAATTCCACTGAGCAAAAAACTAATATTGCCACAAAGCCAACCTTCCATGGCTCCTAACTGCTTTCACTTTGACACAGGTTCAGACAACCATTTCTCGGCTGTAACAGCGTGTTGTGTGCAGCTCACAGGAATTCTATTTGATTGAGTGCTCCAAAGGCTGCAGGGATGTTGCCCGAAAGCTGGTTGTCTGAAAGATCACTGGGAGAAAGGCGTGCAGGGCAGAGGAAAGAAGTGAACGAAAGGAAGTGAGGCGAGCACAAGTGAGTGAGACTCCGAGGATGCACGGGAAAAGAATTGGTTGTGCACAAATGAAGAAAGGTAGGCAGCGATGGCAAGGAAAAGGATGCAACAAGGTCTGGTGGAAGGGAGTGACTGACAGTTTGGTGAGGGCGACCATGGAACCAATCTCCTTGGGGATGGGACCAGACAGTTGGTTGGAGCTCAGGTCGCTGGGGGGACAGGAGAGACAGTGGATTGGATTGTGGTCAGCAGAGAGTAAATAAGTAAAAGTGAAAATCAAAACAGCTCAAATATGAAAGTTTAATATGCAGATATGAAACACAGCCTAGCCTCTGGCTGGATGGGTGAGGAGCATGGAGTAGCAGCAGTGGCAGCGCAGCACCCACAGTGCATTGATATTTTTCAGGAAGGCAATGGACGGAGGGATGGCGCCCGAGAGTTTGTTGGACTGAAGGCCCCTGCAGCAGCATGGAAAGGCGGCAAAACAACGCCAAGGGCAGTAGTAAAAGTAAATGGGATGGGAGGGATTGCAGCAACTAGTACAGCAGAAAAACCTAACTCGACAGTAATGACACTGCCAGTCAACCACGCAAATATTGCGCGTACAGATTTGCAAGGCTGGTGAGGGAGCCGATGGTGTCAGGGATGGGTCCAGAGAGCTTGTTGTAAGAGAGGGACCTGGTGGTTGGGGGTTCAATTGATCGGGCATTGGGAAGCACTGGAGATGGTGAGTCGGAGGAAAGAGGAGAGGCGAGAAGAACAACAGAAATGGAGACTCTGATCGAATGTCTCATGTCTGGAACTCACAGTTGGTACACAATTACAAGCCAAATGGTTGGTGTGTATAAATGGTACATCCGGTTAAAAAAAGGCTGTTACAAGTCCAGTTGCATGCATGTAGCTCACATGTACGACAACATGCTGAGTGCGCCCAAAGTGGAAGGGACGTCTTCAAGCTGGTTGTTTGAGAGGTCCCTGCAAGAAAGTGAGAAGGATAAACAGGAGAGAGGGAAAAATCAGGACAAAGGGAAATATGGAATAACAAATTCTTGGTGTGTAGATGGATGCTCATTTACACCAAATTCGAGTTACATTTACATTTTGTGGTCATCTTTGCACCCCCAATTCCATGTGGGATAAATTTCTTGTTCATATGGTATACGTACTTTGCCCTTTCCTTTGGTTGGAGTCTCACCAACACTTCGAATCCCACTTGACAATATTTTTTTTTTTTCTGCCGTCAAGCCAACCTTCATGGCTCCTAACTGCCTTCACTTCGAACAATCAAGTCTCAGCTGTGAGAGGGTGTTGTGTGCAGCTCACAGGAATTTCATTTTGATGAGTGCTCCAAATGCTGCAGGGATGTTGCCCGAAAGCCGGTTGTCCGAAAGATCACTGGGAGAAAGGCGTGCAGGGCAGAGGAAAAACGGAAGGAGAGGAAGTGTTGCGAGCACAAGTGAGTGAGACTTCAAGAATTGGGCGTTCATAAGCGAGGAAAGACAGGTGGAGATGGCAAGGGAAACGATGCAACGAGGAGTGGTGGAGGGGTCACTGACAGTTTGGTGAGGGCGACCATGGAACCAATCTCCTTGGGGATGGGACCAGACAGTTGGTTGGAGCTCAGGTCACTGTGGGAACAGCAGAGATATTGGATTGGATTATGGACAGCAGAGGTAACAGTGAACTAAAAAACGATTGAAAATTAGGGCTGAAGCTGTTGAGACTAAAAAGAGCATCGGGCTGGCTGGGTGTGGGGGTAGAGTAGCAGCAGTGATGGACTGGCAGCGGCACTGCAGCGGCACTCACAGAGCATTGATGTTTTTCAGCAAGGCAACGGAGGGAGGGATGGCGCCCGAGAGTTTGTTGGAGCGAAGCCCTCTGCAGCAGCATGAGAGGAGAGGGCGGCAAAACCATGCCAAGGGGAGTAGAGCAAGAATATGGGATGAGAGGGAATAATTGTTTCTAACCTTGGGAATTGGGAAGAAACAAAGTGTGGCGTACAGATTTGCAAGGCTGGTGATTGAGCCGATGGTGTCAGGGATGGGCCCAGAGAGCTTGTTGTAAGAGAGGGACCTGGTGGTTGGGGGTTCATACGATCGGGATTTGATAAGCACTAGCGATGGTAAGCCGGTGACAAAAGGATGGTGAAATAGGGTAGGGCAGAAGCGAGAAGAACTGGTACAAGCTAAATACTTGGTGTGTATCAATGGTGCGTTCGGTTCATAATGCCGCCGCCACAAGTCCAGCTGCATGCATGTAGCTCACATGTAAGACATCATGCTGAGTGCACCCAAAATGGAAGGGACGTCTTCAAGCTGGTTGTTTGAGAGGTCCCTGCAAAACATTAAGGGGGGGAATGGAAGCATCAGATAGAAGCCATAACAGCAGCTGAGAAGGAGAAACATGTGAGAGGGAGGTTTTTTGAGAAAAAAGGTACGATAGAAGACTAGTAGTAGTTACCACGCAAGGAGCGATCAAAACTGGGAAGAGGGAAAATGAAGATTCTCGGGGTGTTTTATTTGATGACTGTGTACTCGGTTGGAGCTGTAGTAGCTTAATTATGTAATATTTAATAGCTATATTACACTTTATGTTTTCTGTTCGGGTTCATTTTATAATGAACATGCCCTAGCCGTAGCATCACCTGTCCTTTGGAACTTTATCCCGCCTGACAACAAACTCCTTCCATGGCTCCTAACTGCCTTCACTTTGACACAGGTCCAGACAATTAAACCTCAGCTGTGATAAGGTGTACCTTCGCAACTTACAAGAATTTCATTTGATTGAGTGCTTCAAAGGTTGCAGGAATGTTGCCTGATAGCTGGTTCTCCGAAAGATCACTGGGCGAAAGGCGAGCAGGGAAAAAGTAGAGCGGAAGGGGAGGAAGTGGGGCGAGTAAAAGTGAGTGAAACTTCGAGGATGCAAGGAGAATAATCGGGTGTGCATAAACAAAGAAAGGCAGGCAGGAATGGCAAAGGAAAGGATGCAATGAGGTGTGGTGGAGGGGGGTGACTGACAGTTTGGTGAGGGCGACCATGGAACCAATCTCCTTGGGGATGGGACCAGACAGTTGGTTGGAGCTCAGGTCGCTGGGGGAACAGCAGAGACAGTGGATTGGAGTATGGACGGCAGAAAGTAAGAAAGTATCAGTGACTCAAAATAATAAAAACATGAAAGCTGAAATTGTCGCGATTAAACAGAGCATCTGGCTGGCTGCATGCGGAGGGTGGAGTAGAAGCAGTGCTAGAGAGGCAGAGCAGCAGAAGTGGCAGACTGACAGTGGCAGTGCAGCACCCACAGGTCATTGATATTTTTCAGCAAGGCAATGGAGGGAGGGATGGCGCCAGAGAGTTTGTTGGAACGAAGCCCCCTGCAGCAGCATGGGAGGGCGGCAAAACAACGCCAGCGGCATTAGTGCCAGCAAATGTGATGGAAGAGAACCAGTATTAAGTGGTCCCCAATAAGAATTTCTGATCCATGGCATCAGGAAAAAAACAAAGCGTGACGTACAAATTTGTAAGGCTGGTGAGGGAGCCGATGGTGTCAGGGATGGGTCCAGAGAGCTTGTTGTAAGAGAGGGACCTGGTGGTTGGGGGTTCATTTGATCAGGAATTGAGAACCACTGGAGATGGTGAGTCGGAGGCAAAAGGATGGTGAGATAGGCGAGGGGAGAAGCGAGAAGAACTACAATAATGGAGAATCAAATCGACTGTCAAATGTATGGCACTCACAATTGGTACATGATTCAAGCTAAATGCTTCGTGTGTATCAATGGTGCCTCCGGCTCAATAATGCCGGTACAATTCCAACTGCATCCATGTATCTCACATGTGTGACATCACGCTGAGTGCACCCAAAGTGGAAGGGACGTCTTCAAGCTGGTTGTTTGAGAGGTCCCTGCAAAAGAGAATGGGTGGAGTGGAATGGAAGCATTAGATTGAAGCCAACACAGCCAACACAGCAGGCGAGAAGGAGAAACATGTATCAGGGCAAAAAAACACGACGGAAGAGTAGCAGTAATGAACAAACAACAAGAAGCGAACAAAGAGTGGGAAGTTAGAAAATAATACATATGTATATACGTATATACACATATATATATGCATATTATATAATGCATATTATATATATGCATATTATACATATTATTGTGTGTGTTCGATTTGACGTGTTTTAGTTAACGCTCGCTTTTCATATGGGCTTGTTATCTTGATTTATGTCCTACACTTTGAATCCAATACTGCTCCACAAAAATTTCTTCTGCGGCCAACCTTCCATGGCTCCAAAGTTCCTTCACTTTCACACAGGTTTGCACAATCAAGTATCGCCTGTGACAGGATTAGGCATGGGCATAAGACCTGGTCTGGTTCTTACAATGGGATTGACTACCCGGGCGGGTCAAGTAGTGTATTCCCGGTCGGGTACAACAATACCCGGTACCAGACCCGGTGGCTCTAGGTTGGGTCGGGTATACCCGTACCCGAGTGGTGTGCTTAAGGCTAGGGTTACGACGAATACACAATAGAACTAACAAAAGGGTTTTCAGGTATACCCGACCCGACCTTGGGTATACCCGACCTGACCGTGGGTCGGGCCAACATCCTGGGGCCAAATACCCGGGGTCGGGTATACCCGACCCGACCCGAGCTGAGCGTCGGGTCAGCCTAGACGGGTCGGGTCGGGTCGGGTCGGGCTAATGCCCATGCATAGACAGGATGTTGTGTGCAGTGCAGCTCACAGGAATTTCAGTTTGATGAGTTCTCCAAAGGCTGCAGGGATGTTGCCTGAAAGCTGGTTCTCCGAAAGATCACTGGGAGAGGTGTGCAGGGCAGAGGAAGCACGGAAGAAGAGGAAGTGAGGCTCGGAAGACGCATGGGACAAAAATCGAGTGTGCATAACGAGGAAAGGATGAGAGGAGGTGTGGTGGAGGGAAGTCACTGACAGTTTGGTGAGGGCGAACATGGAACCAATCTCCTTGGGGATGGGACCAGACAGTTGGTTGGAGCTCAGGTCGCTGGGGGATCAACAGAGACAGCGGATTGGAAGCAGTGAGATTCAAACATGAAAGTTGAAGCTGGTGAGATTGAACAGAAAGCATTAGGCTGGCTGGATGTGGAGGGTGGAATAGCAGCAGCAGCAGTGACGGACTGGCACAGGCAGCGTGGCACCCACAGGTCATTAATATACTGCAGAGAGGCAATGGAGGGAGGGATGTCGCCCGCGAGTTTGTTGGAACGAAGCCCCCTGCAGCAGCATGGGAGGGCGGCAAAACAACACCAAGGGGAGTAGTAAGAGTAAATGGGATGGGAAGGTATAAGTGCTACGTGGTCCCATCCATGCACATCAGGATCACGAATACAAACTAAATGTCAGGTGCAATTCAATGGTGCGTCCGGTTCAATAATGCAGCCACAACTAAAGCTGCGTGCATGTAGCTCACAAGTAAGTCATCACGCTGAGTGCACCCAAAATGGAAGGGACGTCTTCAAGCTGGTTGTATGAGAGGTCCCTGCAAAAGATCATGGGTGGAATGGAAGTATCAAATAGAAGTCATAACAGCAGCTGAGAAGGAGAAACTAGTTATAGGGAGAAATAGGGGCAAAAGGCACAATGGAAGACTAGTGTTGTACTTGGTTGAAGCTCGCGCCATCATTTCTGATAACCTATTACAACATAGCTGCATATGGACCCAACTTTTGTCTGGGTTCATTTTCTTGTTCATATCCTACTCAAGATGCCCTATCCTTTAGTTACACCAGCAGCAGCAAGAATCTCACTCTTTTTTGACAAAAACCCTATTTTCACCATTAAGACAACCTTCCATGGGTCATACCTGCCTTCACTTTGACACAGTTGTGCAAAATCAATTTCCGGCTGTGACAGGGTGTTGTGTGCAGCTCACAGGAATTCCAATTGCATTAGATCTCCAAATGATGTGGGAATGTTGCCCGAAAGCTGGTTGTCCGAAAGGTCACTGGAGAAAAGGCGTGCAGGGCAGAGGAAGAACGGAACAAGGAGACGTGGGGCGAGCACGAGTGAGTGAGACTCAGAGGACGCATGGAAAAAATAACTGGTGTGCATGAGCGAGGAAAGGCAGGTAAGGATGACAACGGAAAGGATGCAACAGGGTGTGGTGGAGAGGAGTGACTGACAGTTTGGTGAGGGCGACCATGGAACCAATCTCCTTGGGGATGGGACCAGACAGTTGGTTGGAGCTCAGGTCGCTGGGGTGACAGCAGAGACAGTGGATTGGATGAATTTACAGCAGAGAATAAGAAAGCAGTGGTGGCAAAAAGAAGAAGAAATAAAAAGGCACAAAAATCAAAGTTGAAGGTGCTAAGAGTTAACAAAGCGTCTTGCTGGCCAACTGTGGGAGGTGGAGCAGCAGCAGTGGTAGACGCACAGCAGCAGCAGTGACGGACAAGCAGTGGCAGCATAGCACCCACAGCTCATTGATATTTTGCAGCAAGGCAATGGATGGAGGGATGTCGCCCGAGAGTTTGTTGGAATGAAGGCCCCTGCAGCAGAATGAGAGTGCGGCAAAACAACGCCAAGGGGAGTAGTGGCAGTAAATGGGATGGGAGAGAGTTACTGTTACAGCACGCAGCCCAAGTTGTTTAACCAAACCCCTTGCTGGAAGTGTGGACGGTGGGCTGCTTGGTTTCACCGAGCTTCTTGCTGTCTCAGCAAACCACGGAGGGCACCTCGTGTTTGGCTGCAGAATCCAAAATTACACACAGTCGTGTGTCTTGAAGTTTCCCGCTACTCGCGTTCGACAATCACGGGAACCCTTGCGGTGGCCAATTACATGCCTTCGTGCATTAAGTAATCACACTTCGCCAACTCGCAAAACATAAACTCGTCAAGAAAAAAAAAAT